CTGCTTGTCACTGGAGACGATTTCTTAAGGAAAAAAACCCCACATAGTGTAAAGAAAGAAAAATCAGGGCTAGGGATTTAGCTCAATGGTCCCGCCACCTGCCTTGCAAGCGCAGGGTCCCGAATTTGATCCGTGGGTACCAAAAAAAAAAAGAAAGAAAGAAAAATCAAATATTTGGCATTAATATTAGAAACTTCGGAACAATGAAAGACCACAAATAAAGACAATCCATGAACTTAAAAAAGATATGTATTTGCAACACTAACCAAACAAGGATTGTTAGCCTTGAATAGCTAAAAATAAATTCATTCTTTCTTTCATTCATTCATTCATTCATTCATTATTTATTTATTTATTTATTGGTACCGGGGATCGAACTCAGGCCCTTACATTTGTGAGGCAGGTGGCAGAACCACTGAGCTAAATCCCCGGCCCCTCCTAAAAAGAAATTCTAAAAGATATACAATCCAACCAAACAGGACATACAGGCAACTCGGACAGGAAAAAAAAAAAAAAGGAAGAGATAACAAACACATGAAAGATGCCCATATGAACTCATAATTAAGAAAATGCAAATTAAAATCACAAGATACCATTTCATACTCATGAGACTGGGAAGAAATTGAAAATCTGCCAATAAGTGTTGACAAGGATGTAGAATACTAAAGATTATGTAAGTATATTTACAAGTATATAGTAAGTATAAAATATCTCAATAGAAAAATAAGAAATTCAGAGGAAAACATCAAATTTGTTTCCAATTCTCTTCTGATTAGCCTCTGACACTATAAAGAAATTAAATATTGTATCACCTGCCAGAGATATGAATTTAGCTATTTAATAGAAAATAAATTAAATGATTGTTACTATCAATAAAATCTCATATTGCTTGTGGATACACAAATTCCACTTCAAGAAATACAAAAGAGAAACTCCTGCACAGGGGGTACTGTACTGTAGCATTGTTAGTAGCAGCAAAAATTCTAAACAGCAAAAACTGGCAAACTTAAAAAATGTGAAAAAGAAGATAAAGAAAATACACTTTTCTGTATTCATTCACTGAAGTATTATATAATAGCTAACATGAACAAATCAAATCTACAAGTATCAAGATGGACATCCTTAAATTGTGATATACAAAGTAGGGTTTTCTGCCAACCTTTTGTGGGGGATTGGGGCTAACTGCAAAAGAATATGTACAGCATGCCTCATAAATAGCTAAAGCTTTTAGTGTACCATATGTATATACATATGCTGTAAAAGAAAAAAATAAGAAAAGAAAAAATCATGGGCAAGGACAAACTCAACCCTGAGAATGTAGTCACCTTTAAGGAAGAAAAAATGAAAGGGAGTAGAGAGGAAATGGTTCTTAGTTGTCTCTAATATTTTATTGCTTTTAACTTTTATTTTTAAAATTAGGCTATTTTGAAGAAAAAAGATTGGAAAAGTAAAATGTCCACTATTTCCAGATAAAGATAAAGGATTTCCTTAACAATTATAGGAGTCTCAGCACTGACACCAACAAAGGCTAGAGTCTTCTGTCCTGGTGCCATTCCCAAGACAATCCCAGAAAGCCTAACCAATACTGTAGTATTTGCTGCAATGATTTGGATGAGTTTTCTAAATGCAGATTTCAGCTCTGAACACAACTGAAAGTTACGCAGTCTACGATCAGTTGGCAAACAGGCTGGGAAGAACTCATTTCAGTCTACCAGGTAGGAAATGAAAATACGTGGACTCTACACCCAAACATCAGAGTATATATTTACTTGAAAATGCAATCAGAAATCCAGCTCAAAACTCATTTTGTCAAGAGCATAGAAATAACAGAGTGCAGAAATAAAACAATGCTGATGTCAATAAGTACTAATTATTCCATAAAGACAAATATTACCATTATGCAAGGGATTACACAATGAGTATGCTTCTAAATATATAGCAAGTTTTAAATTCCTCAATAAAAAGTAAATAAATTCAAAGAGGCAAAATTATACATCAAAATCATTTCCAATTCTCTTTAGATCAGCCTTTGGTACTATATACTGAGAGTCATGTATTATGCCTCCATAGTCAGTGATATGATTTAGCTACTTGGGAGAAGAGTTAGCTACCTATGGTGAATTACACGATTATTCTCATCAATAAAACTTATGATTCAAAAATCATCACTATTTAAACACTAAACAGATTATTATAATCCGTTGGCCAATTTTAACCTTTAATAGTTCTAAATCGATAAAAGTCTCAAATGTGGACAGATTTAAGTCACTAAATAGCCTTCACTATTGTTCACAGAATAAAATCCTTAATTGATTAATGATCTTAGGGTGTCTATCGCCATCTAGTGAACAATCACTTCAATTACCACATCAGACACTTGACAACCAACAGTTTTCTTAGTAGTTTAAATACATATATTAAATACTCGGTGCTGTAGGCTTACTCAATTTCTTTTTATGCCTCTCTACACATACAGTAAGAACAAACACAAATACAGATGGTATTTGTATAGATTCACTTTTGAGTGTCTCTAAATGAAGTTTCCATATTACCTTCTCTGAAAACATTGATTTTATTAAATAACTTGCACACTGTGAGGTCTCTCATATAATTCCTTAACCATTAACTAATTCCTCTACCACCGAGCAATTAAAAATCACAGAAGAGTTTAAGTATGAAGGATCACACCTGTGAAAAGACAATATTGATGCCCATTTGCCACAACTATTAGCACTTTTATTATAAACCTGTTTTTAGAAGTACAATTAGTAATTACTCTGAGTACTCTAGCAGCCATAATACATTTGATTACAGAAATTATTAGGTCACCAGAGCCAAACCCGCGTGATTCCAACAAAACTGAGCACACACAAAATAGACTTAAAAATAAAGAGGAGGAACTTCAAGGCCACCCCAGACTTGTATTAACACACATCCAAATACAAAATTATATAACCTTTTGCAAGGGCAGGCCACCAGGTTTTCTTCTCATTAATTTCTAATTGAACCTTAATCTAATTTATCCTACAAGGACTTTAAAAGCAAAGAATTTATAAGATCTCAGGTTATTACATTAATTTGTCTACTTTATTACCAAAACACTATTTTAATAAGTTATGAAAATATTCCAAAATCACCCCAAACTGACTCTCATTTTACACTGCACACCTTCCTACCTCTCTAATAATTAAAAAATGTTTAAAATCACAAAGACTTCCTAGTAATATATGGAAAATGCCAGCAAATCCAAAGAGAGATTATCAGACTCTATCTACCAGTTCCAAAAACTATCACAAATACTTAAATCTTTTCTATTTTAGCAAATAATTTCTTCAGAGGACTCTAGATCTTCTTCTACAATAAGAGTTCCACAGGGCAATGGTATAGTTATTTCTTATTAACCTCATATTAAAGCCCTATTTTCCACAGTTATATTTATCATTATTTGTAGGGAAAAAAAGAAAGGGGTGGGCAAGAAAAGGGAAGAGTAGAAACCAAGAATTTAAATCACACGATGATTGGTCTGAAATTCATTGTTTAGTGGGGCAAACATGGGTTTTTTATAGTTTATTTATTAAAGACCTGTTGTTGTTACATTTTGTATAACAGAAAAATAAAAACAGAGTTTAAACTCCCTATTAAAAATCCAGCTAAATGAAAATATTGCCCTTAAAATACAATGGATTAGGAGAGTGGGGGAGATCATTGGATAAATTTGGGGCTTATCATTATCAACAGTGCCCTTTTAAGCTTGTGGATTTCTGAGCCAATGCAGAAAATGTAACAACAGGGATTTCCCAACAGCAAGAGGCACTCTCCAAGGGAGTAAATTGTCAACTATTGCCTCTCGTGAGAAACTTAAGAGTAACCTTGATCCAATCTCAATAGTCAACCCATGTATTATCACCCAGTTGGGGCATAGTGAGTACATTTCCTAATACAAAAATAAGATGGTATTCTATCAGAAGCCACTGGATACATATACAGAAATAAAATTTAAATAATTCTGAAATAAACTTAGCCTAAGAAACTGAAAACATCCTTCTCTCACTTCAACTAGCCCATAAAACATCTACATCTTTCTCATGTAAAAAAAAAAGTCCGTATCTTACAAGGAGAATCAAAAAAGATGATCTTCTAGGAATAAGAGGCAGAATATAAAGCAGAATCACGGTCATGAAAGACATTCTGTGATAGAATAGATAATCCTAATGAGGTAAAAGACAATGGAGAAGACACAGATTCAAATTCAAAGTAGCCAGTTGTTATCTTTTACCTCTTTTTTTTTTTTTTTAGTACTGGGTATCAAACTCGGACCTTGCACCTGCAAGGCAGGTAGGTGGCGGAACCACTGAGCTAAATCCCTGGCCCCTATCTTTTACCTCTTTGAATCATAGTTTCTTCATTTGCAAAAAGGAAACTTTATTACCTAAGTCAAAGAACTCTGGTGTGTTTTTAATAAAATAAAGTACACAATAGCTTATCACACATCACTGGTGCTCAATAAATCCCTTGCCCTTCCTCACTGTGCCCTAAGACAAGTTTCTGCCACAGGATTGCCAACAGAAGAGTGACTTGAAACATCCTGATGTCTGTTTCCACAGAATATTTACTTCTATCATACTATCTTGGTCATTTTTTATTTACAGTCTATTGTACCAAACAACCTTCTCTCTAACCTATGTCCCTGGCCCAGGTCTCCCCTTCCCTACCACTCTGGGTAGAATATAAAGCCTGTGACAGCAGGGACCTGTATGTCTTGGCCAACAATCTATCCTCAGTGCCTACAGCAAAACCTAGCCATAGATGTTCAATACACACACATACATGAACACACAGGATTGCTGAATGAATTATTTAAATGTCTACTTTTCTCATGGTGGTTCTTAAAAAAAGATATTTGAAACTGAATAACTAGGTAACAGACTTGGCTCTCCCACACTATAACATGCATAGTTAAAAATACTCTATTTAAATAGGAATATTATCACACCATTTACCTCCCTTCCTTTGTATGTCACCAAGGCAGCTAGTGGTTTGGCATAAAATCTGCTGTAGGAAAATCCCAGGCAACCATACATACTGTTCGCTGTGAGCTTCAAAGCCTTCTGTCGAATGTCATACTGCAGGCCACACAAGGACAAAAGACAAACAACAATATTTGCAGATGGTTAAGCATTACATTAGGTATCTTTCTACATCACAAATGAGAAGGAGAAACCTCTCAATATCTCTGGGAGAAAAAAGAACTCTTAATTAAAATAGCCAACCTTTCCTCCCAGATCCACAATGCCCCAACCACCTAGAAGCAAATAAATAGATTCCAAAGCTCCCAGAATTCAGGAAGATCTTGCTTAGATGTAGCCTTTGTAGACAGAATTGATTTCTATTCTGAGGCATTCTAGTGTTTTTGTATGGTTATGTGTCCACAAATAAGCACATGCACTTGTCCACAAGTATCGTTTATACCACTCCTAAACAATCAAACTGTACAAGCTAAAACTGTCATTCAGATGTCTCTTAGTCAAAAGATGTACCTGAAGAACAAGGTCTGGGTTTAAATCTTGTTGCTTCATTAGCTGTTTTACTCGTTTTCTCCTCTCTACCAGCTTCCGGATCTCTCTGGGCAAAATGCCCATTTCTAAGCTTGGATCTGGCAACTCAGGGATCTGTTCTTGTTCTCCATCCTGATAAACACACAAGAGAAATTTCGGACAATTTAAGCTTTGGTAAAATAAATTTTTAAAATAATATTTGATAGGAACAAAACCCCATGATCATGTCTTAAGCATCTTTGTTGTACGAGTGAAGATCAGTAATGCCTGGGCAATATAAGAAAGCTGAGTGGGTTGCAAGCCACTGCTGCCATTTTTCCCACACAATTCTATCAGCCTTCCTACTATCTCCCACCTCTGTGGTTACTCACTAACTTAGATTTTATTTAATGGGTCTGACTTTTACACATGGTACCATCCTCTCTTCAACAAGATGGAGGAGCAATATGTTTAAAATTGTTCTTAAAATAAAAATGCTCAGCCTTCTAGGATAAAAAAACCCAGCTGCTAAACTATTTTAAATCATTTGTACAACCAAACAAAATACTATAGCATTTTTAAACTATCATAACAATTGTTGTAAATGTTTTAGACTAAAAATTAAAAGCTAAATACTAAATCAGCAAATTTCTTTTAAGAATTTGAAGCACATTTAAATAGGCCATGACATTTTCTAAAAATTAGTAAAATATATTCCTTAGCATTTACGTAGTACCTTTTACCTATAAATTGCTTGGCAATTGGCAGAAGAATAGCAACATTTTAGAAAGCAACCAGCAGTCTTATATTAAAATTTACAGCAAGAAAAAGCAGGAAAAGCATTAGACCATTTTCCTTAAGCTTCCATTAATTCTATTAACAGGCTGCAAAGAAAAGCCAGGCACATTTGCCCTTTTAAACATTGAAACTTAGAAATAGGGCCGGGGATTTAGCTCAGTGGTTTCACCGCCTGCTATGCAAGCACAAGGACCCGAGTTTGATCCCCGGTACCAAAAATAAAAAAAAACACGAAACTTAGAAATAAACCTCCTGGCTTAAAGTATGTCAAGTCAATGCCATTGATAACCCAGCCTTTACAAAGTATCTGATTTTATAAAGATCAATATCTTCAAATAAACACACTTTCAATAGTAATGGGGACTACTGTTTTCCAATATAGCATAGGATGATCGCAAAGCTACTAAAGAGATACTTAAACATTCCAATTTATTTACAGCAACCATGGGAATCAGATAAAAGTAAACTGAAAAGATCTAGAGTCAGGAAATGTATAAACCACTCCCAGCTCTACCACTACTACCTATGTAACAGTAACTGTTCTGAACATAAAGTGAGGTACTACACGCGAAAATGACAACAGAATCTATAAATTGCTACTTGTATGTTAGATGACCGCTAAGGTCCTTCCACTCTGAAATGATTCTATTATATATTCAGAATCCAAACTAGAAAGCTCAAATCAACAAAACAGTGGTAAGAGGCAGTTAGGGAGGCAGGCTGGATAATAATTATCACAGTGCTGATACGGAAGCAGGACAGAGTCCTAAAAACATTAATGGAAGGCACTTACTATTGTGGGGGGGTGTCTGCCCAATACCTTTACCCTTGGCAGCCCGATCTGTATTCTGTGCACTACTCCTGTAGTTACAGGTGATGGGACCAGAGACGCTCACTGACCCAGACGAGCCTATCAAATTCTCCCTTCGGGAATCTCGAATTGGAACTGAAAAACTGCTCCTAGGCAGGTGTTTGCAAGTAACTGATATGTAAATTAAGGAGCTAGAGGGCATACAGACAGACATCTTCCGCTAGGAAGGGAAAAAGGCGGGGGAGGAGGAAAAGAGGGAAGGAAGAGAAGGAAGGAAGGAGGGAAAGAGAGGGGGGAGGAATAAACAAAATGTGAATAATACTCCTGTCTCACATACAGACAGAAATATTATTCAGCAATACAAAGGAATGAGAAACTAATAAATGCCACAATACAAATGAACCTTGAAAACGGTATGTTAAGTGAAATATACCAGACACAAAAGGCTATATAGTCTATGACTCCATTTATACAAAATGCCCAGAATATGCAAATCATATTATACAGGCAGAAAGATTACTGGTTGCCTAGGGGTGGGAGAGATGAAGGGGTTGAGGGAGATGACAGCTAAAAAGTTTCTTTGGAGAATAAAAATGCCCTAAAGCTGGATGTGGTGAGGGTTGCAAACTCTCCGAATACACTAAAAGCCATTTCTGTACCCTTTAAATAGGTGGCTGGTATGGTATGTGAATTATACCTCAATAACACTGTTTTTAAAAAGACACAGAACCAGTCTGAGTCTCCTTCTGCCCAGCCCTTCTTTTTGGGGGGGGGGGGTACCGGGGATCAAACTCAGGTCCTTGCGCTTGCAAGGCAGGCGGTGGAACCACTGAGCTAAATCCCCGGCCCTAGCCCTTCTTTTTGACAACTATAAAAGGGCATAATTAATACACCCTTTAAGGGGAAAAACTAGAATACTAACCACTTTGGTTCTCTTCCTTCTTTAAGCAATATTTTTTTGTTGCTGTTTTGTTTTGCTTGTTCTGTTTGTTTGTTTGCAGTACTGGGGATTGAATCCAGGGCCTTCACACTGAGCTACATCTCCAGCCTGGTTTTATTTTTCTTGCTGTTTTTTGTTTTTGAAGCATGGTCTTCCTAAGTTCACTAAGTTTGCCAGCCTGGGATCAAACTTGCAATCCTCTTGCCTCAGCATACCAGAGTGCAGGAATTAATTACAAGTGCATGCTATCATTGCCTAGCAAGCAATACTTTAAACACAGATTTCAAGAGCCCCCAGCTGAATACAAACCTCTGCAACTTTCTGTGCCTCTGAAACAACTCTCTGAACTGTTGTAAAACAAATGTTAAATTCCTGAATGATGGAAGGATATAAACTATTGAAGTCCAGGAGCAAAATGAATTTATCATAAAAACCTGAAATAAAAAAGGTACATACAATCATAAAAAGTCTAAAGAAAAGCACTGTCAAAACATCATATTAGAAGTACAATATAAGGTACGGTAGAAACTAAATACTATCCAGCACTGTGAAGCAGACAACAAACTAAAAAGTCGACTACTATACCACAAAATGACTTGGATTAGAGTGAAAACCCAGATCACAAAATGAGAAGTCTGAAAAGATTCTGTTTCTCCTTGGAACCAGCTACATCCAGTCCTTTACCTAGCAGTCCCAAAACATACCATTATTATAGACAAATGCCATCTCATGTCAATTATTTTAGAGAGGCATCATATCCATTTTAAAAATTTGTTCTTAAATTCTTCATCAAGCAAACACTCCTTTCCACCTACTCTACCCCAAATAAAACCCCAATGAGTGGTTATACTTATTTCTTTACAATCATACCTTCAAAGAATATAACATGCAACCCGTACTCTCTGAATACACTAACAGTACCCATACTGGCACTGTGCTAAAAATCAGATAACAGGTGTATACATAAATGTCAGGAGTGGAACGATCCACCCTTTTAACTTGTAAAGGGTGAACAGAAAGCTACTATATTTCTCTAGGACATTTATAAAGTGTTATCTTCACTTTGAGAAGAAACTGAATAAAAAGAAATGTCCACTACTGACAATATTAATAACTGTAAATATACTGACAGCTTACTCTGTGTCACATACTAAGCCAAACAATCCAATCTATTCCTTAAATCTCTCTGTGGCAGATAACATTCTTATTTATTTTGCAGAAGAGGAAACTGAGGCTTACAGGTTAAACAGGCAGCCCAAGATCACAGAGTCAGCATTCAAGCACAGGATCTAACACCAAAGTACTACTTCTTTGTGTTATTCCAATAAAATCGCTTTTGTCAAAAAAAGTCTCCTATTCAAAGTGTGTTAATTGATAAAATTCACACTTCTGCATTGACAAAATTAAATTTCTGCACATGAAAATAATTACCAGTGCTACTAAACTGTACACTCAGAAATGGTTAACTTAAAAAAAAATTCCTTTCTAGCTCTGTGTGCCACAAAACATCTTCTTTGTAATTCTTGACAACAGGGAAAAGTGATTCTCCTGTTAAAGTTCAATTTGGTAGTTTCTGAAACTACAAGAAGCAGAGCCCCCCTTCACAGAAGAAAGGGAAGACAGAGATGCTCCCACCACAGGAGAAATAGCCATCTACATACTGGACAAAGGTGTGGCAAACTATGTGAAGACCAGATCCAGCCTATTGGCTGTTTCACTTCTGCTCATAAAATAAGCATTTTTATATTTTTAAGTGGCTAGAAAAATAAAAAAACTATTAAAAATATATAAAAATTGTATGAAGTTTACATTTCAATATCCCTAAATAAAACTATATTGGAACATAGTAAAAGCATTCACATTTATTCTGCTAGGTGACTGGCAAACAAGATTTTCACATGCATAAAAGAAATAAATTCATAATGAGACTTATCTGTTGACCTCCAAGATACAATTCAGGTCTTCTACTTTCTCAAGCCTACCTATGTGAAGAAATTCCTCAACTCCAGGAGCAAAACAAACTGCCAGCCAGCCTTACCAACTTTGGGGTCCAAAACCAAGCCTCCAGCATAAGCTGCTTTCTTGCGTCCTTTCTTGTATTTACTGGTATCTCCATCAATTTCTTCATCTTCATCTCCCTAACATCAAATGGAAAGATAACTTCACTAGCCAGCAACTAATTAAACTAATAACATTTATTAGTTCCTCTTTTCCAATTATAGGCCTAAGTTCTAACAAACATTATTTACTTTTAGCTAATGGTGCTACCTGTGGGGAAAGACAGTTATTATAATATGTTCAGGAATCCAAATGAATGCCAAGCATGGTAGTTTCCTAAACAAATCCTATATCTGAGTTAACAAACATGCCAATTCTATTTTTAAATGTTCCTGGATTCATAAAAATTCCATATTTTTAAATCAATGGATATTAAAAATATATTCTTTATGTTATAAAACATTTGAGATTATAAAAGTATCCTATTCATTACTTTAATACTCATGATGTAGAAACATAAAATATTTCATTAGGTATCATTTTTTTTTAAATTTTTTTGAGACAGAGTCTCACTATGTGGTCTGGTTGGCCTCAAACTCACAATCCTCCTGCCTCAGCCTTCCAAGGTGTCACCACAGCTGGCACATTGTTTTTGAGATGGGGTTTCCCATGGTGACCTCTAACTCCTCAGCTCAGCTGATTCTCCTGACTCAGCTTTCCAAGGACCTAGGACTATGAACACATTTACACCTAGCTTATTATTATTAGCATGAATATCTTCAAATAAGTATGTTAATATACTGAAAATCCATTCCCAAATAATTAATGGCCAACAGTCAATACTTCTGCAGAAGTTAAATAGCTCTAAATTAATAACTGCTGTGCCAATTTTGATGTCATAAAACAAGCAAATACAATAGCCTGAATCATCTTTTAACATTCAATTCCCACCCTACATCAATTACTCCCAGTGCTGATAAAGCAACAGCAAAGCTAAGTTTTAGTTTCAGTGTCATTGAGGCCACTCCAGAAATCTGACTGTAGTGATCATAATCATACAGGTTGAATATCCCCAGTCTGAAGATCTGAAATGCTGAAACATTTTGAGTATCAACATGATGCTACAAGCAGAAAATTCCACACCTGACCTCTTGTGAAGGATCATGGTCAAAACACATGTGTACTAAAAATACTGTATCAAATTACCTTCAGGCTGTTTGTATAAGATGTATATGAAAAATAAGTGAATTTCATAATTAAACTTGGATCCCATTCCCTAGATACCTCATTACTTATATGCAAATATTTCAAAACCTGAAAAAATCTGAAAGTTTAATCCCAAGCAGTTCACATTAGGGATACTCAATGTTTATAGAAAAATGCAACAGAAAAATAAAGGCTCATAGGTTTATGGTAATAAAAGGTTTAACTGACATATAGCTTTGAATAGGGCTTAGGCAGCAAGACACTTTCCATTTATGCCCATTCATTAGAGGGGTCTAAGTGCTGCCTTCAAAGAATTTCATATTTCACAAATAATTTCGTCCTTACAGAGAAAAGGAGAAAAGGAAACAACCACACAAACACAACAAAGCACCCTTGACATGGTTTCTAGTACACAGAGGATTAATTATTTTGGAAGCAGATGTTCTCACAGAGAAAAAAAAAAGCTATCTAGGTAATAAAAAGGAGGGACAAGAAAAGGCAAAATACTATGTAATTTTGGACCCACCAGTTTTTGCTGAGGCTTTCTGAAAATCTGCTTGTCGGGCACAATATAGTTGTTTTCATAAAATGCATGCAGCAACAAGAACTCGTTACGCTCAGATCGTCCACCCATCAGAGTCCTGGACTATTAAATAGAATTTCTTTTTAAAATTTGAGCTCAAAACTACAACAAACAAAAGCAATTCTGAATTGGTTCATTTAATCATGATGCTTCCTTCAAAACTACTAACAAAGGCTGCTTAAAAAAAATATTAAGTTATTTCTAACATTTTAAGCACTATAGTTAAAGGAGACAAAGAGAGCTTAAAATATTGACAACTTGGCTATTTCCTTACTCCTAAAAGGACCATTCCACCAGACACATCCAGATGTTAGAGAGATGATCCTTATTTTTGCCCAAATTTCAACACACTGCACCTGGCATCCCTCCCTCCCAACCAGTTCTTCCTTTTACAAAAGAAACCCAGCTTTCAGATTCCAAGTTACTCATTTTATAAGCATGCATTTAGACTCATTATCATATAACAACTACCCCAAGCAAACACTGAATCCAACAGGAAATGCTTTTTCCCCCTTGCTAAGTTAAATTTACCATAATGTTTCCAGCAATGTTAGTGATCTGCAATGCTAATGGAAGAACATTTAGCTCACACATGATCTGCAAAATGAACTTGGCATCTTTCCAGGTATGTTCCAACAGGTACAACAGATGAGAAGATTCACTGTATAGAAAAGTAAGAATGAAACAGAATCAAGTAATTAAAAGAAACAATGACTATAATCAGAACTTCATAAAATATCATAAGAAATTTTTGGTATAAGTAGCTTCAGAGCAACAGAATCTTGGCTTTAGAAATGATTTAAAATAAGATCAGTATGTAATTAGGAATTCATTCATAGCACTGATCCTAGTGCCCCTCTCCGAAACACACACACACAAAATTCCATAAAGTTATATTTTAACTACAAATCTGAAAAGTACCTAAATCCTTTCATTCATTCAATCAAGTATATATTGCATGTTTACTATGTGTCAGGCATTGGCTGTGACCAAAACAGACAGAAATTCCTGTCCTTACGGAGGAGACAGTATAAAAAAGAAAAATTAAATATGGTATGTTATACGATGCTAAGTGTTAAGAAGCATAGAGAATATGAAATATCAGAAGCAGAAACTAAGGAAAACTTCACTGAAAATAAGGACCTTGGCGAAGTGAGGGAGGATGCCTTATGGACGGGGATTGGAGGGTAGAGCAGTCTGCGAAGACAGAATAGCACATTTAAGGGCCCTGAGCTGGGGGTAAATGTGGCAGCTCCATGACATGGAAGGACACAAATAAGGCTGGACTAGAGAGAATGATGGAGAAAACAGCAGGAGATAAGGTTAGAGTTAACAGAACAGAGACACTGGGAGACTTTTGAGCACACTTAATTATAGCAGGATAATTCTGGTCCTAGGTTGAAAACAGACCACAAGGGGGTGAGGGCAAAAGCAGGGAGGTTAGTATATAAGACTCAGTGCTACAGTTTGAATATGGTTTGACCCCTCTGAAACTCAGGCTGAAGTTTAATCCTCATTGTGAGGTATTATGACTGCATGCCAGTGCCTTTATAAGAAGAAAAGGAAAGACCAGAGGACACTCACATGCACCCTCTGTCACCAGGCGATGCTCTGCATCACCTCAGTCTTTCCAGGAAAAAGGTCATCACCAAATGCAGCTCCTTGACCTTGGACCTCCAGAACAGTAAGTCAAACTAAACTCCTTCCTTTACAACTCACCCACTCTTGGATACTGTGTTTTTAGCAACAGGAAATGGACCAAGATATCCAGAAATCCAGGGGGAAAAAGAGGGTGGTTTGGACTAGGATGGGTCCAATGGAGGTGAAAACAAGTGGTCAGAGCCAGATATATTTAGAAGATACAGCTGACAGAATTATCTGATGGATCAACTGTGGGACATCAGAGAGTGAGAGAGAGAAAAATCAAGGTTGCCTCAGAGGTTTTGAGCAGAGAATCAATGACTTTAGAAGTTTCTAGTCGTAATGGAAAAATAGAGTTGCCATTAGTTTAGTAAGGAAAGACTACAGAAAGAATCTAGAGGGAGAAAATCAAGAGCTGGGTTTCAACAAGCTGAAGTCCATATTAGACACCACACAGAACAGGCACGTAGATACATGAGTCTGGAATTCCAGGGTGAGGGGAGTCCTAAGCTAAAGATACATAGGTGAGAGGTCCACACACGGTATTGAAATTTCCAAGACCTGATGCAATTACCTACAGCGGAAGCACAGTCAAAAAGAGCACCAGTCCAAGGACTCAGGAGGAACAAGCAGGAAAGTATGAGAAATGGCCAGAAAGGTAGCAGAAACACTATTTAAGAAATAAGCAAAACTGGGGATGTGGTGGAGCATTTGCCTAGCATGCACAAGGCCCTGGGTTCAATCTCCAGCACAGGGAAAAAAAAAAAGGAAAAGGAAAAGAAAGAAATGAAATCAGCAAGCAATAACTGTAAATAATTTAATGATCGCTCAATTTTTATATTTCCAAAATATCTACTCTAGTTTCTAAATAAGCGAATTAAGGGTGGGAATTTAAATTCATATCTATTTCCAAATTACTACTATCAAACATCAAGAGAATATTATGACAGGTTAGAAATGGAGATAAACTGACCAAATAATCCAAGAGATAAACCAGTTCAAATAATGAAAGCACTGGACAGTGGTGCTGGTATGAATCATTTTCTGCTCCATGTACCACTGGCTCATGTCCCTCCAGCATAAGGAGAGTAAGGGTGTCCTACTATTGCTAATTTCAAGGCTGACAAATTCTGAAGAATCCAGGATCATACCTGTACATATTTCGTACATTTTCCACTGGAATTACAATTCTTTCAATTCTCAGAATCTGTTGAACAAGTTCAGACAAATGGTAGCTTTTACAATGAATCAATTCCTTTGCTGAAATTTCCACATCACAGATCATTCGGCCACAGGTAGCATTTCTTTCACCAAATCCACTCCGGCTCTATAACACAGGGTCAAAAAGTAAATTCCATGAAAGAACAGATACCAGTCTAATTTTAAAACTGGCACCAAAAATTACAATGATGAAATTCTCATTCTTCCATTTATCAAATATTTTTGAACACTGGCTACGTATCTGACCCTGTTCTGGCCACTTGGGATACAGTAGAGAAAAAAATAAAGATTAATGACTTCATTTGAGATACACAATAAGCAACATAAACAAGAAATTATACAGTTTTAAGAGGTAGTAAATATACAGCAAATGGGGAAAAGTAGAGCAGGGTGAGAGGGACAAGAACTTTGGGAAGACTGCATCTTAAATAGAATGATCAGGACAGATCTGGAAAAAAATGTCATACAAAGAAAAACTTGAAGAGGGGATAAGGAGTTAGCTAAGCAAGTGTTTGGATGATGTGCTAATGGTGAATGACCTCACCACCTTAAAGATATGAACAGGAAAAAAAGAAAGAACAGTAGCCCCAACTCCGATCCATATCAATAGAATCTTCTAAAGAGCACTGTAAAAGGCATAGATGTCAAGTTCTCTGATGAGGCAACATTTACAGGTCTCAGGTAAAATAAGATTTTAAGTATTGAGGAGTACCAGGTTTAAGAGTAAGGTGCTCCATACAAAACCACCAAAACCTCCACATATGAAGTAAGCAGGGAAAACAAAAAATTATATGGGCTTTAAGAGGCCATCAGAATCTAGATTCAAATCCCAGTTCTTCCCTTTGCTAGCTACATGATCTTGAACAAATTCTGTTTTCTGAGAATGCCTGTGAAATAAAACTGGAGTTGCCACGAGAGGTAACTACAACAAAAAGCACTTATTCCATTGATTTCTTATATTCAACATCAGCTTCCTTCCATTCATTCTTCCCATCTTCTTCCTGGATGATAATACTCTCCACTTCTAAACCCTGCAACCCTGGCCCAAGGACTATTACTTCAAGAATGTCAAAGTAAAAGTAATGTGTAGGTACTGTTTTTGTTCACTATTCCCTGATTCTAATTGTTGATTTTAAAAACTATAAGTGGTTTTTACAAATAAAATGTTAGATTCAAAGGTAAAGACATTTAGTGCCAAAGTTAAAATGTACTAAAGTTCCTATGACAAGATGACCAATTTGTATTTAAGAAATTATAGTATGTTCCCTGGTAGCTTACCCCATAGAGAAAAGCCAAATAAGAAGTAATATTTTGAAAATTATTATTACCCCAAGCTTTGGCATGTTGGATCGCTTCAGTCGACCTATCTTGGACCAGTAAGGGACTTTGCACACATTAATTCTCTGCAGCAGCACTTCCAGTTCAAACCCATAAATATTATGACCCTAGTCAGAAAAAAGGCAGCCAATAACATTATAACAAATGCAAATTAGAGGATGTATCTTCAAATGCACAGGATTTCTTTGCCCTTTCTTTTTCTGGTCTCTAATTGAAGACATCACAAGCTTACCTCCGATTGTGGGTCCTTTCTTCTTGAGGAATTTATTCATCAGCAGCATTCATTAGCCTTGACATTAACAAGGCTGCTACACAGATTGCTGGAATAAACTTTATTTCATACTAATTGATGCAAGGTTCATATGATGTCTTTTAATTTGCAGCTCATGCCTCACAATCTCAGAGGCAAATGCAAATTTTTAATGTCCTACATTTCTTAGATGATCAGTAAAAATTATATTCAAACAATTCCATTTTGATTCCTTAGAAACAAAAGGACCACCTATGTTGTGTGACACTTAACATAAGACCTCTTGGAAAACTTAGGAACTGCATTTGGTTTCTTCTTTGAAAACTGAGTTTAAACACTACTGAGTCACAGCAAAATACCAGCAAGTAGTTCAACTGAGAAACTTAAAAATAAGGAAACAAAAAGAGTAGAAAATGACTCGAAAAATGCAGCCAGATTTTTCATTTCTATAATTTCCAATTTCACGAAAATGACATTATTTACATGCATATGTTTATTAAAAATAGATAAGGTTTAAAATGATTCAGACCAATAAACAGATTTTTATTAATTTTAATGAAAAATTAAAATACTCAAAGGACATGAGGAGTCTAATTTCTAAATTAGTATGCTTGGGATCAGGGACCCAAATCCATATCAAGGTTCTATACATCTGGATCTCTCACAAAGACGTGGCTCTAACATCCTAAGTGAGGTCAGGTATCCTAGGCTCAATGACATTTCCTTGGGGTCCAAAATATTATTGTTTGAGGCTGAGTGAGGGTCCAGTGTTTAGTCAGTATACAAGAGCACTGTGAACAGAATTTGCTTGGTGCTTTAAAGATAGGTCTTGAAATAACATAAGGAAAGTGGGAACAGAGACATTGGTAAGAATTGGTAAGAATCCACAGGCTCTCGGGACGTTAGCTGTATTACTGCCAGATAAGGTATTCAAGAGTAAAACTGATCCAGAAGGATATGGCATTTTTGCAAGGCCTCAATGTAACCAAATTGCTGATATCACATTGAAATATAGCTATTTATAGCCTACCTTCCCCTGGGAAAAAAAAACAATACAATTTGATCCATTAACCCAGGAGAAAAGACAAAAAAGGTATTTTTATTATGGAGCTTATGAACAAAGGAAGGCCAAAGGATACATAAAAGCAAAAATGTTGCTTTATAACTCCTAGGAACTGGGACAAAACAATCCAAGGGATTATTAGCTCTCATTTTTTACTTAGAAAGATACCAAACTAGCTGGGTGTGGTGGCGCATGCCTGTAATCCCAGTACTTGAGAGCCTGAGGTAGGAGGATCCAAGTTTGAGGACAGCCTGGGGTATATAGTGAGTTCAAGGCCAGCCTGAACTTCATAGTGAGACCCTGTCTAAAAAAAGAAACAAACAAAAAAACAAACAAACCAGCTGACAGGGGGGGAAAATTCCTAGTTCTGAATTCTCAAAGGAATATGCCATAGAGATCTGCTGAGCTCATAAAATTAAAATACTTAAGTTTAACGATTTGCACCACAGCAAGGGAATTAAATTCCTGTGACCACTATACAACTGGGCCACTAAGCAAAAATTTTGAAGATACTAACATTTTATGCATGTGTACTTATTGATGTACTTGTCTCTAAGTATAGACAATCAGAATATCCTAAACTTCAACAATAATGCAGAGGTTGCTTTTATACTGGAAAAAATTATCTTATAATAGGCTACGAATTTTTCTCCCTTTCTATTAACAGGAAATATAACAAGCAATTCTTACCAGTCCATAGTCATTTCACTGAAAATATTCTTTGGTGCTCAAAACTAAATAACCAATAAAAAGTAAGTGACCAATAAATTACACTGAAAAAAGCCAAGGAATGAACTTTATCACATGATCAAACATCTACTCACCACAATGATATCAGGATCAAGTTTGTGAACTTTTGCAAGGAAAAAACCTAGCAGTGTTCTTTCTGTTTCAGCAACCTCAACCTTCACTTTCTGTTAGACAAAAACATATTAGTCACTAACTCTTTAAAGTATTGTGCCTTGGTTTCTTGTTCAACCAGAGTAAAATTTCTTAGGGTTAAAAGAAAGCAGTCATTTCAAAACTAAATGCAGCAAAGAAATTTCTGATTCCAGGTTTTGTAATAATAATCGCACAAAGTCTCTGAGGAGCTCATTCTAGTAATATGCACACGAATAAAGCAGAACTGTAAGTGTTAAGCAACATCAGGAGCAGAAACGTCCTTCCACAGAGACATATTTGTGCATTGGACACATTTAAAAGCATATAAATCAGAATATCTTTCAAAACATTACTTACTTTCCTATTTAATCACTGGTAGACGTCACTGTTTATGTATTTATCAGGCAAAGAAATCCCAAGGATTGTATAAACTAATTTCAAATAGTGGTATAAGAACAAATACATAAGAAACTAGACTAAAAACAAACATATACTTAAGAATTACAAGTATAAAATCTATTTTCACACAAAAGGCTTCCACCTGGATTACTGAATACAAATCAGCTATTTAAAAGATCTGCTTTTATTAGAAATCTCTTAAAATGAAAGCTGATGGCTATGTTTTCTACAGCTAGCTTGGTTAAAAAAAAAATGTCAGTTTGACTAAGAGAATTCTCCCAGGCTATTTTACTTAGGTAATTGAGGCATGTCATAAATGATAACCTAATCTAATAGTACACCCCAGCTACTGGACTTCTCAAGCCAATTTAAAATAATATAAGTGGAACCTGACAAGGTTACTTTTAATTTTGTCAAGTGAGGACATTGACAAACCTACAAATGTATCAATACCAGTGTTTCACAAAGAAACAACCTATTCTTCCCCCAAAATGAAATTGTTCCGATTGAATATATTCACCTTCGTTGGTTTGTTTGTTTGTTTGGAGACAAGGTCTCACTATGTAGTTCAGACTGGCCTTGAACTTACTATGGAGCCCACACTGGTCTCAACTTCCAGTGATTCTCCTGCCTCAGCCTCTCCAGTGCTGGGACTATAGGCATCCACCACCATCCCCAGCACATTCACCTGTGTGAAAAACTCACTACATTATACTGCCTCCTCCACCTCCATGTTTCTAAGGGCCCCTGAAAACTTCTTCATGTAGCATACTGGGAGGGTTTAAAGATCACTGATTAATTCTGGTTACCCTACATCAACCCTGCCAAAACATGGCCCTTTAATACCCACAGTATTCTCAAATTCATTCAGCATCCCACAGGCTGGGGAGGGGCTCTATCCAATGCCTTCCAAAACAGTAATCATATCATCATTCATTTTGGAAAAGCTTCCAATGAAGCTATATGAAGGTGGGCTTGAGCCTATCTATCTTGTCCTATCGATGGCTTGTAGCAATGGTGGCACAAACTGATCTAATCACTTTTATTGGCCTTTTTACTAATAAAATTATAAAGTCTATGAATGGACCAAATCTAGTTAATTTTTTGAATTTGAGTAACTACTGCCCAAATGTAAATATTAATATTATTCATACCAATTAAGTATTACAATAATAAACACTGGTTCATTTCATTAAATTAAAAGAAATTTATTATATCCATGAATAGTTTATCAATAATTAATTATCTAAATTTTAATATGGAAATCTTATAAGTATGCCATTGTTGGTGCATACAATATGCACTGACAACTGCTGTACCACAAAGTAGCTCTATTACAATTTTTTTAAATACCATTTTTTTTTTTTTGGTACCGGGGATCGAACTCGGGTCCTTCTGCTTGCAAAGCAGGTGGTGGAACCACTGAGCTAAATCCCCGGCCCTAAATACCATTTTACTGTTTTCCTTAAGAAACTGCAGTATGATGACATCTTGCCTGCTAATTGAACGCCTTTCTTTGTATTACTGTAATCAAAGACTCCCCTGAGAAGCAGTAAAAGCCACCTGATGGGACAGTCATGCATGTACCACCAGTGGTTTGAGGCCACGGGAATGATCAAATTCAAACCAGAGCCACCCAGCAGCAAGACAATACAAATTATGGCTATCATGAAAGTGTTCGTGCCATAGTCCAATTTACCAGGACTAGATCTAATAAATTAAAATACAGAATAGCCTGTTTCTACTAGCCCATATCATCCTCCTATTCTCTTTCCAAACAGATATTTCACATTTAAAAGGAATAAATAATGAGTTCTTTACCTTTTTCTTAATGACTTCTTTGAAAGCACATGGAAATATATAGTCCTTTGGCTTAGATACAACTGTGAGAAGGAAGAAAAAATTCCAACACCCATCTTAGTCCAATTTCAGGTGCATATACACTGCATGTTTCCAAATGTAAACTATATTAAATATAAAGTTCTCCTAATCCCTAAAAATTTAAGAGGGTCAGTATTTCCATTGGCCATGCTGCTGGACCTCAAAATAGCTAACCACATACTCCTATTAACCTACAATTATTAAAACTGCTTTAATCAAACATTTACTATCTACCAAAGTCAGAATGGATCACAATATTCTTTCCTGAAGGAAATATTCCCACCGCCAAAGCCTTAATCAGCACACAGTGGAGGAATTCAGTTCAAAGTTCTCAAGATTGGGAAAGTAAAGCTTCTCCTGGACATCATTAAGTTTCCTGCCATACACAACACCTTTTTTTGTTTTGTTTTATTTTTGTTTGTTTGAGACAGGGTCTCACTACATAGTTCAGGCTGACCTCAAGCTCACAGTGATCCTCCTGTCTCAACTTCCCCAGTGCTGGGATTACAGGTGTGCACCACCACACCCAGCCACACCTGACTCTTATATACTCAAAAGTGCATAAATGCATGTTGAAATGAGCTAATAACTGCTCTTTTCCACATCTTTTCCAGACTACCATTATCATTTTGTTCCATGTGTTCCACCCACTTAGGGGGTAAAACTTTATAATAATCACTACATACTCTCCTCCTTGGTATTTCCTAGTACCACTTTCCAATTACAGTACCTAAGAAATCAGAAAGGAGACTGCCAAAGTTAATCTCTAGATCTGGGTTGTGAAAGATCCCAGGAAACATAATAGAGAACAGTGTTATTCTTTATCCCCATTAAAAAAAAAAAAACCAAATGATTATTTAACTGACCAAGTTCTCTACATGGAACATGTCAGAATCTTTCTGGAAACTGGCTCATAAAACACAAATGCAGAATTCTATAGACCTCTTTCACCTATTAAATCTTAAAGAACATTGGACAACTCAGTTCCAATCTGGTATTTACTATAACTCTTCCCAAATAGGTAAACATTCATTTATTCCTCGGCATCTTGCCTCATCACACAGAAAACTATGGCCAATAAAACAAGTTTCCACAGCTGAAAACAACTTTAATAATACGCACTAATTACTCTTGAAAACACTTTTTGAAAAACAAATTACTGATGCAATAGCTTAAAAAGAAAGAAAACTCAAATCAAGCTGTTTAGTCAACTAGTTTAAAAATACATACCACAAAAGTGTGACTGAAAAGGAGGTTGTGGGGGTGCTTTATCTAAGGCAAAACCATGATGGACCAAAGCTGCTATAGCAATAATCTGCAAAGAAAGGACGGGAAAACTCACTTACCAGACACCTATTATATATTCTGAATTCTGACTAAAACCACAAAGAATATAAAAAGTACACATTTTTAATACATATGAATACTTAACTTTTTATTATGAAATATTCAAATTTTCAAATGGAGAAAAAATAGAACAAAATTAACTCCCATGTACCCATCATCCAGTTTCAACTATCAAGTTATCTGTAACCCTACCCACTACCCACCTCCTCCCAGATGTATCAATTTATCAGAAACTATTTCAGCATAAGTCTCTGAAATAGGATTTTTCAACTTCAGCACTTGGGTCAAATTCTTTGTTTAATTCTTAAACATCCAGTGCATTGCAAGATGTTTAGCAGTATCTCCAGCCTCTACCCACTAGATGCCAGTGGTAAATGACACATCTTCCATCCCCAATCCCCGAGTTATGACAACCAAAATGTTCCTCCAATGACAAATGTACCCTCAGAAGCAAAAGTCTCAACCTACTGAGAACCACCACTCTGAAAGGTAAGTTTTAAAAATGTAATCACAATACAATTAACTCACCCAATATAATTAATATCATCATGAACTCATGCAATTACTCTTATTACATTCACACTATCCCATCTTTGGTCAGTAGGAGACTTTTCAAATTGTTTCCTGAGTCCTTCTGACATATTTCCAGTAGATTGTAATATGATCCTTGCTCTCTGATTAACAAGACGTTCCAGACGTTATCAGACATCACCTGCCCTGAATCACCCATTTTTCCACAGATCCTTATTTTATGTATTAGGAAATACAATGTAAAAATCTCACTGTGGGAACTAGGTGATAGATACTTCTAATTTTGAGTAAGTACTAATTAAACCTTTCCCAAACACATAACTATTGACTCTGGCCATCTACTGTATTAACTATTATTAAAAGATCAGGGGCCGGGGGTGTAGCTCAGTGGTACAGCACGTACTTAGAATGAGGAAAACCCTGGGTTCAATCCTTAGGACCATGAAAAATAAATTAAAAGTTCAAATGCAATACTAAAGAAAAAAGTGAAAATATTGCCAAAATGCTATTTAAAAAAGACCCCCATCTGGACGGGGATTTAGCTCAGTGGTTTCGCCGCCTGCTGCGCAAGCGCAAGGACCCAAGTTCGATCCCCGGTACCAAAAAAAAAAAAAGACCCCCATCAATGTCAAAATGACTTAGAAGCAAACATAAAGAAGCCCCAGAGGGGAACAAATATAAGCATCAAAATAAAATCAAGCTAGGCACAGCGGTACATGCCTGTAGTTCCAGCTACTTGGGAGGCTAACACAGGGAGATTACTTTAGCCCAGGCGTTTAGGACCAGCCTGAGCAACACAGTGAGACCCCATCTCAAAACACACACACACACACACACACACACACAGTAATAATGAAGGCAATAAATTACATCACAGGGAATATGTGTGTGTGTGTGTGTGTGTGTGTGTGTGTGTGTGTGTGTATAAAAAACACCCATGTGCTTATATTCCAAAAAGGAACAACAAAATAACCTGTTGCCACTGTAAGTAATAGAGGTCCCTGGCCTTCTTTTCAGAAAATTGCCAATAAAAGAAAAAATTAAAATTTATCCTAACTTTCTTGTATAAACTGTTACAAAGTAACCAATAATGCTGGTTAATGAAGAAAAGTTAATCTTACAGAAAAATTTAACTCATAAACATGGATACAATTAGAAAACCACCATTTTACAACTAATGAAATAATTTATGCAAAAATGACTAATACACAATCAGTAGTTCTCAACTGGGGATAATCTCATCTCCTCCTCCCTCTCAGGGATATTTGGTGATGACTATAGGCATTTTTTTTGGTTGTTACAACTGGCAGGGGGAGGTGTTATAGTATCTATAGCATCTAGTGAGTAGAGGCCAGGAATGCTGCTAATGCAAAGGACAGCATCCTACAAAAAAGAATTATCCAGCCCAATACAAACAGTGCCAAGCTTAAAAAACCTCACCTTAGTTCTTACCTAAGATGTATGAGGTGCTGGGTTTGGGTTTGATCCCAACACCACAAAAACGAAAACATCTTACACTACATAAAAGACTGATAGAGAAATTTACAATGGGTATCACCCTTTGAATCTACTGATCAAGGAATGAGAGAATCATGAGCAGCATTTTTTTTCTTTTGGTACCGGGGATTGAACTCGGGTCCTTGCACCTGAGCAGCAGGTAGCGAAACCACTGAGCTAAATCCCCGGCCCACATAAGCAGCAGTTTAACCAGACACTGTGTGTCTTCCAATATGATGTAGTATCAAGTACACTGTACCACCTGTAAAGTATTTTGGCTAGGAAAGTTGACCCTAAATCAAATTGATTCTTTAGAACTAACATATAGCACATAGAAATATAAAGGACAGAGGAGTCAGCATAATATTTCTGTAAAGGACCAAATCGTAAATATTTTATGCTTTATAGGCCATATGGTTTCTGTCTGACTCTTATGTTGCAGTGCAAAAGCAGCTAAAGACATGCTGAATTTCAATGAATTTTAGTCACAAAAAAGGTAGTGGGCTGAATTTGACTCACAGGCCGCTGTCTATCAATGCCTGGTTCAGAAGTCATCTAATGATACCACAAAGAAGTAAAATACAGGAAATGGGACATTCTATTAGAAAACTCCGTGATTCTTTAATTATTCAATGTCATGGGAAAAAAAACAATGGGCTGGTGTGAGATAGTCCCATTTAAAAAGAAATGCAAGAGACACAAAGATTAAAGCCCATCTGTGAATCTTGTGTGAATCCTGATTCAACTGTGAAAAGACACTGTGAGAAATGGAGTCATGTAATTTATGTACTAAGGATTGTGGGTTATATCAAGATTCGCTGTTAATATTATTAAGTGTGCTAGCAGTATTATATAAGAAAATGTGCATGTTTTAAGAGAAGTATACCACAGGATATAGGGACAAAATGGCACAATGGTTGAGACTAGCTTTATAAAACTTCAAGACGGTAAAAAAGGGAATGCAGATAAACAAGTATCACAAAGTCTTGCTAACTGCTGGATATGTGTGATTGGCATAAGCAATTCATTGCACTATTCTGTGTGAACCTTTGAAAAATAAAAACCAAAATATTTCCAGAAATTTAAGGCCTTACAAAAAACTGCAATACCAGACAAATTCAAATCATTCTCCAAAATGGACTTTGGTGGTGAACTAGTATTTTTTCCCTGACAAAAGAACAACTTTTTCTTGTAGAAAAGCCATACAAGTTCAGGTAATTACTGCATCTAAGGCAATAGGTACAGAATTTTTCTTAGTTTTTTTACCTCATTTTGATGGTTCTTTGCATTCTGCATTGTCTTCATGCTGAAAGACATCACCACAAGTGGAGGAGGACCAACATCCTTAATTACATTCACCAGGTCTGGTTTCAAAGCCATTGCCTCAAATTTACACCAACTGATTGGCTGATTCAAGAGCTCTAAAAAAGAACAGATACAACATATCAGTATTACTTACTAAAAAGAAAAAGTACTATAATTATGACATCTGTGATTAACTGAAATATTCCTCAACCCTATCCTCTAATAAGAATGACATAATATTTAATTAAAAATAAGCCATATTATTGGGTGGTATGCAAATTTCTGTGTGTGTTACACGCGTGTGTGCATGTGCTTATTTCTTGGAAAAAAGGTCTATAGATTTTATAAGATGCTCCAAAGAAGCTATGACCCAAGGAAAGGATTAAAAAAAATGCTGCCCTGGAGAAGACATAAAACATTTTAAAGAGATTTACAGAGATAAAACACAGAATCATAGATACAAGTGCTGAAAAATATCAGGTTAACAAGGCAAACAAGCAGTATCCACATTGAGTGGTGATTCTCCTCCCCTCCAAAGGTCAGCAGTTTGCTATAGAGAACAGCTGGGCCATCTCAGCCAGGTCAGAAGTACAGTACATGCAAAGAACATGATAATGAAGGAAGCGCCCCAAACAGCTGCCTGCAGCAACGCCTCCCTTCGACTAAACTGCCAGGCATTAGAGAAAAAAGATTCTAAATGTATTCCCTCTAAATACTCAGGAAAACCTCAAATAAACACAAAAAAGGAAGCAGACATGTTAAAATAAATAGATCTGAAAATGCATTTACCAGCAATCTACTTAGAATTATGACTAAATTTTTCCTTACGTGGATTTTTTACTTCTAGCCAGCAAGGTCCTTTGATCTTTCTGTTCATCAAGAACAGTTCCAAGCTGGATGTGTTGGTCCCAAATACATGAGAAAAAGTTTCTCCTTTCAAATCCTGAGGAAGCTGTGGCATTTCCGCCTGAAAAGAGCAAGGGGAAAAAAACCTTTTTTGTTTAAACCATTACTTCACATTTTCCAAAGTCTATATTTGAAATAAACAAAAGCCTCTCTATGAAGCACCAGAAGAAACCCCTTTGATACATATGAAATGTAATTTGCCACAAATGAAATCCAAAACAATTCACAGTAGGAAACAAAAACAATTCACAATGACAAAATAATGCATCTTGATGACACCCATTAGAAGAAAAATAGGCCAAGAAGCTCCCTCAAAGGAGAATTTCTGTCCAGAGCTATGCATGCCTCGCTGATAAAGCACAGCCAAGTAAGTACCACTCCATTAGAAGAATGAAAGCAACAGAGTGGGACTCATTGCAAATGCATCCGTGGTGCTTTTCATCACCACTATTAAAAACATTTCTTAAAAGTTTCCCTTTTCCAACATCATGGGATCAAAACACTAGAAAAGAAAAGAGGTTAAGGTCCAATTAATTAATACCCTACAGCAACGACCTTGCCTGTCACAGGAGCAAGAGCAGCACTATAGCAATGCTACTGACACTCCTCTCTCACCTTTCCATTGCTCACAACAGACACTCAACAGACTAACGATGTCCAACTCCATCATGTGGCATTTGCACCACTTGACGAACAGTTGTGCTGTTTCAATTTACTTATTTAAAGATGCATACTTGAAAGCAGAGAAAGGCAGTGTAACTTGTAGTCTCTGAACCTAAATTACTTTTATCCATTTCAATTATTCATTACTTCAAGTCCACCTCAATGAACTATGGGCTTGAGGAGCCCTGCCAACACTCCTAATCGAAAGCCAGTTGAAAGTTCAAAAGTAGAAAAATGTCATTCTCAACTAAAATCCAGCAACTCTCTTTGTTTGACTTACCGAGTATCTAACTTCCAAGTATTCAGACTTTTCTGGAACATCAGGTATCTCAAAAGCATAATTCTTTTCCACTATCTGGGTAAGCAGATATTTTAAAAATCAATACGACAAAAACTTTTCAAAAATTAAATTGGCCAGTATTACATAAACAATATAGTACATGTTCCTGCATTCAATCATCAGGAATCTAGCACGGTGCCCACACACAAAGGTAAATGAAGTAAAAAAGGCACATTTTCCCCTTTCAACTAGGAATAAAATAACCAATGACAAAAGGCTGCAAGGCTTCAGCACCTGTGTTCGTCACAATTATACCACATTACCTCTGGAATGTTTTTTTTTTATCTGTTTGTTTCTTTGCAGTGCTTGGGATCAAACCCAGGGCCTTGTGCATTGCTTCTGGAATTATAAAAACGTGACTCATTAGCCACAATTCAAGGCTCTAATAGTTAAGAGTGCTAGCCTTACCTTTAGCAACTCAATCTCCCTTTACTGAAATCACTGTTAACAGCTAGTATTTTTAAAATTATTTATGTATTTAATTATTTTTTGGTACCGGGGATTGAACTTGGGACCTTGTGCTTGCAAGGCAGGCAGCGGAACCACTGAGCTAAATCCCTGGCCCAATAGCTAGTATTCTGAGTGGGCTACAACCCCTTTCCATTATGGCTAAAGGCAACAATACCTCACTAAAATCAAGATAATTTATCATACATATTTGAATAGAAGTTTTTCATTCTATATGAAATATCATCATAGTCCCTGGTTTTTAAAGCTAAAACCCTTCTCAGTCTTCTAATCAAAATGCATGGGCAATCACTTATTTAAATAAAATAGTAGTTTCTTCTCCATTTCAGAATAAGAGTACCTGACATGTTGCAAGCAGGAAACAATTTGCTATGAGTTATTTTTCTATTCAATTCTAACCAGTTTTATAAGCAATTTAAAAAGAAAAAATATTTTTACAAATTTAGTATGTTTTTATGTTCATACCTATGAGATTTCCACTCCATGAGTTATAAGCCATGGGAAAGGCGTTTTGCATGAAGTAAATATGCAATCATTATTTGTTAAATCTGGAAATGAACAAACAATAAAGAGAGCTGGGAATAAATTCACCAGCAAATACAAACCTTGGACTTGAACTTCATAATTTTATATTTATTTGCTATTCTCTCATCAAATTCATCATAAACATCTTTCATTGTAACTGGAGTTCCTGTTTCTTTCCCTGTATTTGAATCAATTTTCTGTTCTCCCATGGAGAGAAGAAGAAAAAAGTTATCTGTGTATAAGATCTTCTCAATTACCAGAAACCCAAGTCTACAGCAGTTTTCATTCCCACCCATTTAAACATTTAACAGCACAGTTTTACAGATGAGTTCATAGACACACAGACCCCAAAAATGTACTAAACTCAAATGCCCACTTCCTCCCAATGCAGCATAAAAGCCAATCAGAGATAAAGATGATTGATTCTACAAAATGGGAAAGTGTTGTAAATCCTGACCAAGAAGCTCCACAGTTAAACTGAGATGGGGAGAGCTAGGACTGGGAGAGGATTGGAAATGTTTGAAGTTCCAATAAAAAAGGAGGAACAAATGGAACTGACCTTGGTAAGTGGTCATGGAGAGAATGCTACTGCTGCCTATGAAGCAAAAGCACGAAAACTGGGCCAAACGCCACTTCACATTTTAGAGTCTCAAGCCCGATTATTATGGAAATGAAGAATAAGGGAAAATACAGCACTACATATTTTAACACAGACACTAACAAGTTAAAAAACTGAATTCTACTTCATTTCTCTATTTTTCCCAACCTCTAATGGAGTCGCTGATAATCAGTGGTCACTGGGCAGGCACTGGAGAACTGCTACCCTATCGAAGGATAGAGTTGGCAGCAGGACACTAAATGAGTGCCATATACAATTACTGAAACCTAAAAGCTAATCACGAACGTTTACCATTTCACGGGGAAGGAAGTAGAGCATTCGCTCAATGTTTTTCACCATGACACAACAGCTCACATGGGTCTTGGCTGATTCAATCCAAACTTTGCCAAACAGAAATACCACACCTAAAAGAATAAAGGAAATTTATGGGAAAAGAAACATTTCAATTACATCAAATTAAAGAGGCTATATAAAGGCTCACCAAATGTGTCCACACATTTATGCCTCCATGATAATTCATTTTGACAGCACATATACTGTCTGCCACCTACTTCCTACAACCAGTCCTTTTTTTTTTTGGTACCGGGGATCAAACTTGGGACCTTGCGCTTGCGAGACAGGTAGCGGAACCAGAGCTAAATCCCTGGCCCCTAGCTCTTTACTCAGAAGCCATACTACACTATCACAATGGTACAACCTGTGACCACTGGGAGAAAGGGGACAGAATAATTCTCTAACTTGGTATAAACACTTTCCCTATAATCAGTATTAACCAGATTAAGAGAAACAAAACAAGCAAATTACTCTCTAACCAATCTGCTATTTAAGTCTCTTGTGAGAACTTCCAAATCTAAGATTATAATTCTATAATACTTGCATTTACCTATAAAAACAAATATTCATATTGTTGGATAAATATGATACATCAATATTTTTCTTTATATCAAACTGTATTTGGGGAAAAAACAATGTATCTCCTATTTCTTACCCATATAATGAAAAATATCTCATAAATGGGTTGTAACTAAAATCTATTTCACCCTTCCTACCTCACAAGCTACTTAACTATCTGCCTAGATAGTTTTATTAGTACATGGTTGCAATATATAAATGATTCCACTCATTATGGGAAGCTGGCACATGTACATGAAACATCTTTTATACCCCCCACCTGCCATCTCTTGGTCCCCTTCCCATTTACAAAGAGCTATCTCCCTATTTCCTTTTATCTACTGTTTATTTTCTTCTTTATTATAATGTTCCTTCCCTTTTATTTTCGTTTGATGAATGGTTTGGTAACCAAATCAGTAGACACTCTCCTTTTCAGATCCCTAATATACACTACAAAGTAAAAACATGCCATTTCAGACATCAAATCATTGTCTATCAAAACCAGCCATCAAGAAAAGACTTCAAGGAGTGGGGGTGTAGCTCCACGGCAGAGCACAAACCTGGCATGCATGAAGCTCTGGGTTCAATCCCTAGTACCAGAAAAGAAAGCACTCCAAAAATTTGACAGTCAACCCAAGAAATGGTCACTGCAAAACCCTAGGCTCCATAAATTAGACAATAGTAATCAACACTATCACTCAACATGGTTGCTTATCTGAGACACTAAGAAGATTCTGGCACATGCAAATGTCACTGTTCATAAGGCTAATTCCCCCAGTTTCACAAGATAGCTCATCAGTGTTTCCTTTGTCACTAGTCCTCATAGAAATAAGACCATCATTTCTGTAGATGATTAAAATTCTTATAAGAGTTACGTGATTTTTCAGCAGGGTCGGTGGTAGAAGCAAGGGAGATAAGGAAGAGGGAAGGGAGGACTGTCGGGGTGATTAAAAGAAAAAAAAATCACTGTAGTTCAGAAAATTAGAAGTCATCCCCACAACAGTTAAAGATGGAAAAACAAAATTCCATGCAAAGGAAAATAAAGACCCTAATATTGGATTCAAAGATTCAAATAGCTCATTTTACAGTCAAACTAATATCACACTTCATGCAACACATGACACTGCTTATGCCTCATTTGCCACAAAAAGATCATGGTAAACAAAGATTACATTCCCCCTAAAGTTACTAGCTGAAACCAGGTGCAGTCAGGATTATTCAACCTTGAAAAAGTCATAATGAAGACAGGATATCTTCCCATATGCAAAGAGCAAGATTCTTTTCATAATTACGGCACATTCAGCAACAACTGACTGACTTAGAATGTGTAAGAAAGTGAGAAACAATAACAGGGTCTTTGGGAGTACTTCACTTCTATTAGTAGCATTGATTTCACCAAAGCTCATGATCATTACCTACTATCATGATGAAATGGTTCAATCCTTTGAGATCAGAGCCATTTTCTTTAACCCGTTGACATCAAAAACTGAAAGATGTGCCACTGCAGAGGACACAACCTGAGAAGCACCACAGAACAGCAGAGTGGACTGAGGGTGAGAAGCTCAGACTTCTAACACTAAAGAGCCAGGGGCCTTATTTTTCAGAGCCTCAGTGTCCTCCTGAGTAACTAGATGATCTTTGAGGCCTTCTTTGGCACTATAAATTTCATTTAACCTTAGTTTCTGGATAGTAGACAAGTAACAGATTACTAACTCTTTCAACTGCAAAAAAAAAAAATTAATTGAGCCAGGCATGGTGGCATTCACTTGTGGTCTCAGCTACTCAGGAGGCTGAGGCAGGAGGATCACATGAGCCCAGGAGTTTAAGGCCAGCCTGGGCAACATAGTAAGGAAGAGGGAAGGGAAGACTGTCAGGCTGATGTAAAGAAAAAAAATCTCTATAGCTCAGAAAATTTAAAGTAACATAGTAAGACTCCATCTCAAAAAAATATTGATTGCAAAATATTTTCAAGGGCTGGGAGTATAGCTCAGTGATAAAAAGTACATGCTTAGAGCATTCACAAGGTGCTGGATTTAATCCCTAGCAAAACCAAAATAAATATTTCCCAATAAGGCTTAAAAAGCCTATCCACAATGATGGTTAGTGATAGGAATTAAAACGCATCATAAATTGGTTCCTCTGCGAATATAGCTGTGTTTCAATGCTTCAACCTTAACCTCCAGAGCTGAGGCGTAGCTCAGTGGTAGAGTGCTTGCCTAGCATGCACAAAGCCCTGAGTTCAATCCCTAGTACTGCAAAAAAAAAATCAACCTCCAAAATACACTACCACAAACCAGTGACATAATTATTCTGTATCTGAGCCATCCAATACTGTAGTTACTAGCCACAGGTAGAAATCAAACACTTGAAAGGTAGATGGTGGCTAACAAACTTAACTTTACATTTTATTTCATTTTAACTAACTTAAACATAAAGAGGTACAAATGGCCAGTATCTATAAGAGTGCACAGTATGGTACATTTATCGTGTACCATACCTTGCCCCTGCAAAACAATGTCCTATTTACTAATAAGAGTATCAAGTGGTAAATGAAAAGTAGAAATAATAAACTCATTTTCACAAAGAGGGTTGCAGTTTTTTAAGGATCCTTGGCAAATGACACTGGCAATTTGACACCTCACAGGAGTACTTATTTTGGGGGGAGCACCATCTACTTTTGTGTGACCCACTCCTTTTATTCCTAGTTTCTTCTGAAGTGCATATTGATTATACAAAATAATGGGATTCATTGTGACATTTCATACACATATATAACATACTTCAATTATACCCACCCCCTTATCCTCCCTTAAACCCTCCAACCCACTTCCTCGTCTCAAATAGTCTTCCTTCGACTTTCATGTCCTCCTTTTTCTGATTCCCCACATGACAGAAAACATGCAATATTTGTCTTTCTGAATCTGGCTTATTTCATCTACAATGATCTCTAGTTCCATCCATTTTCCTGCAAATGACATGATTCCATTTCTCTTTATGGATGAATAATACCCAATTGTGTATATATATATATTTTTCTTTATCTGTTCAGTCTTATCTCACACTGCTATAAGGCTTTAGGAGGCAAAGTGATTAATGGCAGCAAATGCAACTCTGGTTCTGCAAAACCTTTCAAGTCCATCTTTAGGGCTGTCAATCACTGTGTAGTTCATTTCAATGACCACTTATTAAACACTTACTATGGACCTGGCACTGTGCTGGATGCTGGGGGAAAAAAAAGATCCCAGCCCTCCAGGCCTAAAAGCTCTGGGGAAAAGCAAAACAGATTCAAGTCATTTCAAAAACTACGACAAATGCTACAGTGGGAAAAGGTATGATGGGGTCACATAGAGAGGGCTTGAAGACTCAGGGAGAGGTTTAGGAAAACTCCCAGGAAATGATACCTGGACTGAACCTTGAACAATAAGCAGATAAGGGCAGACAAACATAATGTATAACAACACACTATAAGTATAAAGAGCAGCAAGGTACATACAGTGAACACTGTCTAGGGCAAAAATTCATAGACAGCTGGAGGCATCAGATACCTTGCTAAGGAGCTTGGACTTTATGTTGCAGGCAACAGCTACTAAAGATTTTTTTAAATGAGAACATGATATGATCATATTTACCCTTCTAATCAATCACTCTGGCAGTAATGTGGAGGATGACAGCAGACACACACATTAGAAGGCTGGCACAATGGAAGCAGTAGGCGAGAGGGGATCAGAGGTGGCAGCTGTAAGGAGATAAGGCTGTCTTCTTTAGGGGGAAAAATTATCCAAGTGAGGGAAGTAAGGACATAAGAGAATCGAGCGTGGCTTCCAGGTTTCTGGTTTTAACAGAGACAGGGAATAAAACACAGCATTGAGCAGACACACCAAAGCACAGTGAAAAGTACTGGGATAGGAAAGCTGATCACGCTGCCCAGCTTCAAGATGCACCACTCGTACCACTGTGAGGGTCAGCCCTGGTTTCAGCAATGAACAAGAAATCCTTTGCTCAGTGTCATGTAATCGTACTTTCCAGCCTACCTTCCAGCATAGAGGGACAAAGAAGTAGTCAAAGAGGTGAGAGGGCCTAACCAAATTATCTTGGCCCAGCTAACACAGGCTAAGATATCATTTCTAAGACTTCTTATATCTTTAAGAAGGACATGGCACCATGCTACTCCAGTGGCTCTGCAAAAGTATATACATATTTGATAAAAAAACATGTTAGTGTTAAGGCTTCATTAACACTTTTGCAATTAAAGTCAATGCCCAATTATCCTGAAGGTAAATCTGGTCTTGAAGAATTCTGACTCTTCTTGCTCACATACTTGTTTTACTAACATACAGGTACTCCCTCTATTTTTATTGAATGCAGCCTCCAGGAAACCACTTGAAAAATACAATTTGTATATACTGTGATTCAAAAAAGGATATAAATTCAGACAAGTCTATTTAAGGATGCATACTGTATTTTATGTCAATCCAAAAGAACTTATCATGACCAGTCCCACAATGAAGGGCTCAAAGAGGCACAAAAGCAAACTGGACAGCCTTCTAGATTTTTTTTGTAAAGCATTAAACAACATAAATTTATTATCCAGAGTTTTGGAGGTCAGAAGCACCAACAGGTAAGCAGGGCTGCACTACCTCTGGGCAATCTAGGGGATGACCCCTTTCCTTGCACTTTACAGCTTCCAAAACTATCACAGTCCTTGGACTATACTGGCCTACTTCAGTATCTCCTTATCTCAAGATTTTTAATTTCATCAAATCTATAAAATCCCTTTTACCATGTAAGGCAACATATCACAGGTTCCAGATGTGAGTACACACATATCTTTGGGGAGAACATCATGCTGCCTATCACACCTCAGTTCCATAAAGCTGAGAAGTTCTCCCACTGGTCTTAGAAAAGAAGCTAAGAACCCCAGGGCTGACAGAGGCAGCTACTTAAATGTAGTCCTTACATTCTTACCTAAGTCATTCAGGGCCAAATTCTCAGGGATTCTTTTAATGAAAAACAAATGAGTTATTATAAAATTATTTTGCCTCCTATTTTTGCATACAGAGAGGATAGTTTTTTAAAAAAATAGAACCTCCACTATTTTTTTCTTTTTGGTTTTTTGAGACACAGTCTCACTATGTAGTCTGTTCACCTTGAACTCATTATGTAGCCGAGGCTGGCCTCAAACTTGCTAGTTTTCCTGCCTCAGCCTCCTGGTCACTGTTTCTATATAGTAAAAAAAAAATCATCTGGAGGTGAATTTTAAGTTTGTAAAAAGTTGTACTGAAGAACTGGAGTAAGACATTCGAGTTGATTGCAGAGACACAGACCCAAAGCAAATATAGGAAACATAAATGTTCAATTAAGGAGAGCCTTTTCTGACAGTTATTTTTGTTCAAAATAGAATGAGCCACCTCTGCCATCACAAGGGCATTCTAGGCTCACCTCAGGTGACTTTTCCCCCTGTACAAGGAGGGAGTCACAGGATTCCTGTGAAGGTCAGCCCTATGGATTCTTAAAGACAATGCATTTCTGCTGTTGGACAGCCATTTCCTCCAACTCACTCCTGGCTTTTTGTGAGACAACTCACAGAATTAGGTCCTTAGGATGACCTAGGAATCATTAATTCCCCGTCACCATCCCCATCTAATCTATCAACTAGTGTGTGCTAAAATACATGTTAAATGCCTTCATTTCTCTTCTCCTCAGCCACCAATGTCCAAGTAACAAGCACCTGTGCCTTGGACCAGCTCATATCCAGGGCTTCCCCACTTCCCTGTTACCCTACTCCAGGACATCCTTCTAAATGTACATATACATACACTGGTGTGTACACATGCACACAGCCAATTCTCCACAAAGACCAGAGTATTCCTATTGAAATACAACTCAATTGTAGGACCACGACACCCTGCACTTAAAACACTAACACTTCCCCCCTTGTTCTTAGAATAAGATTCAAACTCCTTGATTTGGCTTTTAAGATCCTATGCTACAACCACACACACTTCCTCTTTCCTCTTGATAGGCTTTGGTGCTTACTGGTCCTTTCCTCAGCTCTGTATGTACCTCATATCTCAGTCCAGGGGTCATCTCCTAAGATAGGCTTTCTCTAGCCATCCTCCAATAAAAGTCCTTTACATCATTTATAAATTTATCTTAATCCCAACTTCCCCCTACCTACTCCTATTCCACTGAAATGTGAGCTCCATCACAGTGTCAGAAAATTTGTCCAGCTTGTTTACTCCACCTTGGTACCTGACACACAGCAGGTAGTCCAATTTGCTGAAATAGAGTGATAAATTAATGACTGATTCCCTTTAAGTGCATTCCTATGACTTCAGAGATACATCAATGGTGAACTACAAACATGCATTCCAAAACCACATATAACTGATTTTTGGAATAAGCATCTTTTAAAAATTATTCACAATCAGGGTAGCTCATGCACTTTGCAAGGAATGAGTACTGCTCTCCTACAATGCACGAGAGGGCAAAGCCTGTCCCAATTAAAATCACTAAAGTATTTAAGGGAAAAGGTGCCACTCCATAATAAAGGCATATGGTTACCTTATGTATGATTGATTACCTGGTTGGTTGTACTGATCTTCATAAGCATCCAGCCAATAAAACCGGAACACTTGTTCCTCATCTGACCCTTTTACCAATGGGAGTTGATTGGAATCCACTTGAACTTCCAGTGCTGAGAAACTGCTATCATCTTCCTGATCAATGTCCCAACAAGAGACATCTGGGAGAAAACTTCCCCTGTAGAAATCACATTTTCAAAAACCTTTCAAAACAACAAAATAATTGGAGTGCTATTTTCCAGAAAAGTCATGAAATGCTCTTACAAGCAGGACATGGTCCCCTTCCTAGGATCTGCCTTGTGCTTCATCCCCTCTGCAGGGTCACTCTCTTGGTCCCAAGTCTTGGCAGCCATAGGCTCCGTGTTCACCTCCTCAGCTTCCATGGGCTCATCAAAGTCACCATCTTCAAACTCCATTGCCCCTGACTCCTGCTCGTCTTCTGGATATTCTGGCTGCACCAGCTCTCCTGTAGGTATCATCACACATTCCTGTTATATGCCAGTGTCATGGGGCACAAAGACGGACACGCCACTGAAGTACAAGCATATCCCTTTTCCTATACTATGCTTGCATTTCTCTTTAATCTTCAAATTCTGTGTTAACTTGTACTGCTATGAATTAAAATCTTTCACACTTAGACTTGTCATCAAAATACCTTCAAAAACACCTCCACATCCTCCTATCACAGATTCTCCATTTGTGACAGCAACTGCTGAAACACTTGCGCTTCTGCCCAATATCAGACTTACCAGAAAATTGAGCATGTTTAGGAGGAACAGGAGTTAATGGAGGTTCCTTCCTAGAGGCAGGGGAAGCAGTTTTTCCTGAAGGAATTACCTGTAAACATTTTTAAATGTTTAGTCAGTTAGACTTGCATACTAAAAATATGAAACTCTCCTACACTGACCAGAGATAATGACAGTCCCCATTTATATTTTATGTATTATTAATGTAACAGCTTCAATTATTTTACTGTTACCTAGGTTTATAAAAAAATACTTGTTTCCCAGAGGAAAATTATTGCATTTAGCACAGTTGTAATACCTATAATAAACACACACTACTTACTACAAAATTTACTATGAAAAAAGCAGGCACATGCTATTTTTAAAATACATGAAACTATACATTGAATGGCAGTCCTGATTTAAAATAAAAATCAAAAACAAATTCGAAAGCATTTCACTCACACGGAAAAGAAACAAAATAAATTTAAAGAAAAACTATAAATCAAGACAGTAGATTTCTATGCACTTTACCTTGGGGGTGTGCACAGAGAAAGGATTCTGTGAAGCTCCAATAGACCTTTTCTTCTTTCGTAACATTACAGGCGGTGGAGTTATTCGAGGTGTCTAAAGAAAGGGTAAGACAGACATTTACCTCCACATTTGGTTTACCGTAACAGAAAAGTATATTTCTTCCTCACTGAAGCCCAATAAGTAAAGCATCCCCCCCCAAATAGGATTTATGTTCATGTACTGCAGTTACTATAGCAATACTACAGAAATCACTAGAAAACCAAAAGATATTGAATCCACCCCTCACAAATTTTTTTCTTTTTAAAATTTAAAGTCTTTCATTTACCCTTCCAGAATATTACACTTTTACACTATCAAGACAGAACTACATAGTGTCGGTGTTAGTCATTTTAATCAATGGTCACTTAGAAGTATACTTCTAAGAGCTTAGTTGTTTTGAGAAATGGCCAAATTTCAAATTTACAGTGCAGCTAAGCCTATTTGAGTTATATCAGGGGTAGCTCACTGATTCCTCCCTCATTCCCACTGAGAATTCAAGATGAAGATCTCACGGCTGATTGTGCAGATTGACAGGCTTCAGTCTATTTAAGGAACATACATTATAGCAACTGAACACAAGCAGTGAGCATTCACAGAACTGACTCCTGGGTGTATTCTTACTACTTCCAACACACACCCACACAGCCCTATCTATATAATCATATAGCTGCAACAGCTAGAAACTAAAATGGTCAGAAGAAACTAATCTGAAGTTTTGTTTTGTTTTCATTTTTTGTGGGGTTCTTTTTGGTGCTGTCCTTAATGTTTTTGGGTTTTTTTTGGTACCGGAGATCGAACTCGGGTCCTTGCGCTTGCGAGCCAGGCGGCGGAATCACTGAGCTAAATCCCCGGCCCTGTCCTTAATGTTTTTAGTTCTAGCAACAGTCAGTTTTATATAATTACTGAATTGTTTCTTTAGCCTACATCCCCTGCGTATTTTACAAGTCTCAAAGATTCACTTACCTCAGTGTTCAGATCTTGTAGAATGTCACCTAGCAGATCATCCTTGGACAAATCTACAGCTTTCTGGAGATAATAAAGGAAAATAATAAAGTAAAATGAGAAAGCCTTGCATTTAAATTTTCACCCAGATCACACACATCTGTGAAAGGAAGAAACTAACCAGTCAGTCCTTGTCTCTTTATTTCTCACTGAGTGCTCTCATCTACTATTTATACAATTTTAACAACCATCTGTGTATATATATATATAACTTTTAAGTTTAGGGCTTTCATCTTCTTTTTCATTCTCATTCCATGATCTTCTTGCTAGTCATGGAAATTAAACGTTCATCTTTTCTGTCCAATTTTTGTTTCTATCTCTCCTGTTTTAACCTAAATTAGGTGCCTAAATAGAAGTCTAAATTCACATGAAATCTAAATTCAACTTAGTGAAATTGGGAAAATGCTATTCAAGTATGTATTGAGCACCTATTATCTGTATAATCAAATATTGAATTCATTTTATGTAAGAAAAGACAAAATATAAGGAAACTATGAAACTCACATCTGCAGTTTTCTTTCCAGCACTAGCAATGAACATTGACTTGATATCGTTTGGTTTTGTCACTGCGAGTTTCTTTACATTCTTCTTGTCTTTGTTGTGTGTTTTACCATCTTTTCCTATTGGAATATAAATCATTTAGAAACATGCACCGGCCCAAAATCAAAATGGAAAACTAAAAGGCTAGCCACTTGATCTCTGTATATCAAAAATTGAAAAGAAAAAAATTAATAATACAAAAATATGATGTTTTATACAAGCTACACAGGGAAGAACCTTTAAAATGAGCTCAATTTGAAAAAATATGAGACAAATGTCATTACAAAAACTGACAAAATACAAGTTAAATATCGAGATGAGTTAGGTATGACTAATTGCTACTGGTACTGTGAATAAAAAGCTTTTTTAAAGTTAGGAGGGTTGGTTTGATTTCTTGTTTTCCCCACTGAAAAAGATAATAATCTGGAATGAAGAAATAAGCCTTGTAACCTTCGTGAAATCATATCCTTAGTTTCATACTGAATCTGACAGGACAACCTGACTATAAAGAAAAAGGATTACCAGCTATGAGACTATACCACCCTGATCTGTGAGGAACAGGACATGGACACTGTAACACATCATTTTCAACACTGAACATCACAGAGACATTTGCTCATCAAAGGAAAACTTTTGCAATGTTTTCTCTTATGGCCATGTGGAAATCCCCTATGAACTTTCCTGACAATTTCTTTCTTTTTTTGGTACCGGGGATCGAACTCGGGACCTTGCGCTTGCGAGGCAGGCACAAGAACCACAGAGCTAAATCCCCGGCCCCTGACAATTTTAATCTCATTTTCTGATTCATCCTAGAATAATCACCATCTCCAAGAAAACCAAGAATTTATAATTAAAATAATGTGGTAATGGCAAACATAGATAAACCAGATGAAATAGAAAATAAAGTTTAGAAAAGGACTCATTACTTATGGTAATTTAGCATAGAAAAAGGTGGCAATTTATATCACTTGGGGGAAAGATGGACTTTTAAATAAGTAGTGTTGGCTAGGCATTTGTAAAGAAGTAAAATAGTATAAACACTAAAATAAAATTTTTAAAAATAAAACTAGGGCTGGGGATGTAGCTCAGGGGTACAGTGCTTGCCTAGCATTTGTGAGGCCCTAGGTTCAATTCTTAGTACTAAAAAAAGACAAAGCCACTTTTTAAAAAAAGATCATTCCTCTTGGGATGTAGCTCAGCGACACAGCTCCTGCCTCACAAGAACAAGGCCCTGAGTTCAATTCCTGGTATTATTAAAAAAAAAAAAAAAAAAAAAGGTAATTTCTTTGTAACCTGGGCATAGTGAAAATCTTTCGCTGAGTGTGGAGGTGCATGCCTATAATCTCAGCAACTCAGAAAGCCAAGGCAGGAGGATTGGCTCTAGTTGAAGGCCAGCCTGAGGTACTTAATGAGTTCAGGACCAGTCTGAACTATGTAGTGAGACCCTATTTCAAACAAAACAAAATCTTTCTAACCATAATTCAAAACCACTTGTGGGAAAAAAGACTGATCAATTACACCAGAAAGAAGAAAAAACAGGAAAAAGTTTTTCAATGTATAACACAGATAAAGGATCAAACTCCCCAATAAATATGTCCTCGCTATAAAGAACTTTTAAAAAAAGAAAGCACATCTCAAAAGGAAAGTGAAGCCACGCGTGGTGGCAGACAACTGTAATCCCAGCACTGTGAGAGGCTGAGGAAAGAGGACTGCAAATTTGTGCCCAGCCAGGACAACTAAATGACTAAGCAAGACTCCACCTAAAAATAAAAATGTTTAAAAAGGCTGAGGATGTAGCTCATTGTGAAGGCTCTGGGTTCAATCCCTAATATCACAAAAAAGTGAGCAGTGAACAAAAAATACATAAACAGTTAAGTTTTATGAAAAGACCCTCAACTTTATGGGTAAAACCAATCCAAATGAAAACCATACTGAGACACCACTTCTCACATACCAGAAAGGCAAATATTCAAAGCTTGACAACATATTGTTAGCAAGGCTTTGAGGAAACACTCAGACATTGTTCATAGTTATACAACATGCTAGCACTTAGGAAGACCTTGGCAATGTCTAAGAAAACTTTATGTGCATTTATTCTGAGCCAGAAATCACATTTCTAAGAATTTTCCCTGAGGAAATTACCACATGCACAAAATTACCAGATGTGGCACTTTTGGTAATAGCAAATTATTAAAAATAAATGTGCATTCAAGGAAATCATTTAAATTATAATCTATCCATCAATGCAATACTGTGTAGCAACACATATAAATAAAAAAGATCTCTATGTACTAATATGATTTTCAGGATATCTTGTTAAGTGAAAAAAAGCACAGTACAAAACTATATGCATTATCTTCTGTGTAAGAAGGAAAGTAGAAATATATAACAATTCTACTCCTGGATATATACCCCAAAGAAATGAAAATAGAAGTTCAAACAAAAATTTGAACACAAATGTTCATAGTACCACTATGCAAAATAACCAAAAGGTACAAATAACCTAAATGTCCATCCACTAATGAATGGATAACCAAAATGCAGTACACATATCCACATAATGGAAATATTATTCAGTCAAAAAGGAAAGAAACACACTATAATATGAATGAAATTTGAGATTATGCTAAGTGAAAGAAACCATATACGAAAGGTCACATATTCTATGATTCCATTTATATGACGTATCCAGAATAGGCGAGTCTACAGAGACAAAAAGTAGATCAATGGTTGCCAAGCATTGAGAGAAGGAAGACTAGGAAGCGACTGCTTAATGAGTATGAGGTTTCCATTTGGAGTGAAGAAAATGTTCTGAAACTGGATAATGGTGATGACTGCAAACACTGCCAATGTACTAAATGTCACTAATGGCAAATTCTAGGTTACATGCATTTTACCACAACAGAAAAGGTATTTTTCACGTGCCTAAGATTGTTAAAAGCTTTGTAGGAAGTTTGTGGAAAATGTAAGACAAAAGAATTGCATGGAGAAACTTATATTATAATTGAGATCATTTGGAGCAGTCTGAAAACAATATAATTAAAGGTCAAAATATTTAGAATACAAAACTCAGATTGAGTATGAAAAGCAGTATGAATAGCCAGGAAGGCTTCATGAGGGGGCTGTAATCTCACCACTATCGATAAGTAGAATTTAGATAGAGGGACCAAAAGATAAACAATATGCATTAAACATATAAGGGAAAATCCTTCCACAATTTATTGGTTTTGTTTTATTCTGTTGTCCCACTGATTTGTCTTCGTTGGGACTTGACTGCTATTTTACTTTTTCTCTAAAAGAAAACAGCATTGGGCCGGGGATTTAGCTCAGTGGTTCCGGCGCCTGCCTCGCAAGCGCAAGGTCCCGAGTTCAATCCCTTGTACCAAAAAAAAAAAAAAGGAAAGAAAACAGCATGCCAGGGATTGGACCCACACCATAAAGAGTTGACCTTTTACTTCTAGACAACACTAAAACTTCTTAAAAGTTTTTAAAGTGGATTGCAAAAGTTCACGTACCTTCCTAAGATCTTGTGACTTTACTAGGTTCCTAGTGAGGAACACTACAACAGTGAGGATGTGTAAGTGAATGGTGGTAGCAAAGTTATGAAATAAAAAAATTCTAAGACTAGTTGTCTTCCAGAATGTCAAATCATTCTCTTCACTAATGCACTACCAGGAAGAGATAACATGACTACAGAAACACAACAATGGCTCATTTATTTCACAAATAATGCATACTTCGTTTGTGTCTGCTATTCTGATCAGCACTGCAGTGATTGCAACATGGGCCTTTTCTTTGAGAAGCTCCTTGTCCAGTCCAACTTCCTAATTCATAGCTGACCAACTAAAATCTAGGCAGATGATGGAACTGGGTCAAGATGATACAACTAGCAACATAGCCATAACTCTAATGCAGGCCTTCTCAACTGGACTCACTCTTTTTTTTTTCCATTAACTTTATCGGTACATTTTAGGTATACAGTACAGTTACACTCATCATTGGGATTTTGTACCTTTACATGATGTATCTTGGTTCTTATTTTTTCCCCCTTCCCCTGCCCTCCCTTCACCCCCTCCACCCTTCCCTATTTACAAAGACTTTGTTTCCATTTTTTTCCTTTTCTCATATTTTTTCTTTTCCCTTCTTTCCTTTCCCCTTCCCCTCCCACTTCCCTACTCCTTTAGACCTTTTCTTCCTATTTCACAATATCAATTATACATTTTGATCCTTATTTACACTTTTAGTTTTTCACACCAGAGAAACTATTCAGTATGCACTCAATCTCTTTTTCATGAACTCACAAACTAGGAGTACACAATTAGCTGCATTGCTACCAAAGGATATCCATGTACTGACTCTACATTAGATAGGTTGGCAGAAATTGGAAAAATGGTCCACATACTCTAACTAGTGAGAACAAATAACATCTCGTGGGAAAAAATATACATGCTTATTTTCTTTAAGTGCAAACATAGGAAGAATAAACCAGAAACTAATAAAAATAGTTATCTATAGAGATGGGTAGAAACAAGGCAGAAAGTATAGGGATGAGGGCAAGATTTGCCTGAGTCGATCTCTTGATATCATTTTTATTTTTAAATCATATAAAAATTTTAGAATATTCAAAAACTAAAATTAAAACCAAATTTCTTAAAATTTGAATAAAAACACATGAATCTGTTAAATTTAACATAATATTCTGATCATACACCCTTAGTGGGATACATATAAAGAACAAATAAAACTGCAAACAAATTATAAACTTCACTTAGAAAAGGCAGTAGAGATATTTAATAATTCTAAAATTGTCTTGTGTATATCCTAGAAGACAAGGATTTTCACTGAGAGTGAACACAGATAAAATTAGGAACATGAAGAACCCATTAATTACAAAGGGGAAAAGGCAGCCTTATAAGAAATCTGACAGTATCTTAACCAAAAGATCAAATTTATTATCAACAATAATGAAATGAATGGCATTATATGCCCGACAGTGACAGGATCGATAGGAAGGACACAACTTCATCTACGTTGCAGAAGTCCTGACAACATTTATTTAAAGAGAAATATTTAGCCAGGAATGGTGGTCCATACCTATAACCCCAGCACTCTGGGAGGCTGAGGTAAGAAGATTACAAATTCACAGGCAGGAGCACAGCCTGGGCAACTTAGCAAGACCCTGTCTTAAAATTTTATAAAATAATAAAAAAGGGCTGAGGATGTAGCTCAGAATGAAGGCCATGGGTTCAATACTCAGTAATAGAGGAAACATTGTGGAACATTCAACAAAACAATATCATGGTCCCTTTAGAGATTTCAGTGTCACAAAAGACAAAAAGAAGCAATGGGGAAGGAAGAGTTACTATTCTACACTAAATAAGACTAGCCGGGCATGGTGGCACACACCTGTAATCCCAGTACTTGGGAGGCTGAGGCAGGAGGATTGCCACGAGTTCAAGGCCAGCCTGGGGTACACAGTGAGTTCAAGGCCAACCTGGACTACACAGCAAGACCCTGTCTCATAAATAAATAAATCTAAAAAGTACTTTACATTTTTTAAAAATGCTACAAAAGAAAAGGGGCCAGGGATTTAGCTCAGTGGTGCTGCACCTACCTCATAAGCGCAAGGTCCGAAGTTTGATCCCTGATACCAAAAAAAAAAAAAAAGCTACAAAGGACATTATGGAACCAACTGGAGAAATTTCACTATAAATATTAAATAATATCATAGTAATGGTATTGTGATTAAGCAGATGAGTGTCCTTATTCTTAAGAAGTCACTGCTGAAGTTCAAACAAATTCACCAAAAAACATTTTCTGTGTGTGCTTGAGTAGGAGAGGAAACAAATGTTGCAAACATTAACAAAGACCAAGGTAGCTGGGGATTTAGCTCAGTGGTTCCGCCACCTGCCTCACAAGCACAAGGACCGGAGTTCGATAGCCACTACAAAAAAAAAAATTAACAAAGAACAAGGTAGCACAGATGTATGGCTTTCTGGCCAAATATGATTTTCTTACACTATTACATAGTCGTCTTCACATTTTTCTTTTCTTAAAAAGCACCCTTTAGGAATATAAAAACCTTTATGAGCTCAGGGACTATACAAAAATAGGTATGATTTTCTTTAGGGGTAACAAGAATATTCTGAAATTAATTCTGGTGATAGCTACACAATTCTGTAACTATACTAAAAGCCAGTGAATTGTATACTTTAAATGGGTGAATTGCATGGTGTGTGAATTATATCTTAATAAAATATTTTTTAAAAACCAGCAGTGAGTGGGCCAGTTTGCTGACCCCTGATCTACCACTTAGTAGGAAAAGACTAATTAATAAACTACACCAAAAAAACAAATACCAAAGAGAATTTTCCATTCTCATTTTACAAGAACTAAATCAGCCTGTTTACTCGGAAAAAAAATTGCCAATGATTGTAGCTAAGAAATTCTGACAATCGTTCGTATCATTTTAAATTTCAATTAAACAAAGCAAGTTGATTACACTAGTTTTAAACCTTGTTATTGTACTGTACAATTATCAAAGAGCTAAAATTCTAAGTACTTCAGTAGGAATTAAAAGACATCACTTATTGTTGCAGCCCTTCAAGACTGAATATTTCAAATTGAGTTAAAAAAAACCAAACTTTTCTGATAATGGAGACATGAAACTATTTCCTAGTGGTATTTTTGTTTCTTACATATAATTTTCTTCACAACTATGCTTCTCTATTAGAACATATTCTCTGTCTAAAAACAACTCTGCTAGGCCCTTCTCCCTCCCAGGGAGATATCCCAAGTCATTTTGAATTTCAGACAATTCTTTAAATTGCAAACAATATGCCTGAAAACAAAACAATACCTTTCTCACTGGTGTCAAGAGCATCATCATCAAGGTCATCATCAAAAATCTCTCGGCCATCTTCCACATAGCCAGTTCCATCTGCAGGGACAAAATTTAATATTAGAATCAAATTTCTGAAAGTAACCAGTAATATTTTAGTCATAACCAAAAAACACTTTTATACCCACTCAAAAATGGCCTATTCCATTTTTAAGTGTAGCAGAATCCTGTTCAAACAGGTGTCAGACAAGGCACAGCATCCACACAGCAGATGTGGAGTCAAAACCAAAGGATATACAGTGTACTATACCTACCAATGTAAGCTAGGGAAATGATTTGGCCCATGGTATCAAAAACTTTGCCACAAAAGGTTGTTTTATTTTTTTCTCTACCAAAAGAATAAAAAATAAGACTCAAGAATACCACAAGCCCAGAAAGTCATCCTAGTCTATGAAGAAAAACTGGCAATAAAGATGAATGCAATTACAGAAGTAGAAATATAGTCATAGGCACAGTCTACGTCTTCCTGTGGTCAGTACTAACATGCCCAAGAAAGCAGACTCTGGAAAGAAGCTTTTCAGAAGGGGCAGGAGAACAGCAGGACCAGCCTTTAACAGTACTCTCCACTGCTCAAGTTGCCTCATTCCTACAACCTGTGTATTCCTCATAGCAACACAGGCAGATAGTTTTCTGACCTCTACATTACAGATGAAAAACTTCTGGCTTGCTGATATTAAGTAACATGTCGAAGGTCACAGAATTGGAGGGTGGAAAAGACACAACTTGAACCTGCATCTCTTAATTCCAGATGTGTGTTGGCCCCACAGACATGTGGCTATTCCCAACTCCTTTTTTTTTTCTTTTCTTTTTTGGTGCTGGGAGTTAAAGCAAGGTCTTGAACATCCTCTCAATTTCTACACAGCTGCTTCCTGGAGAATTTATACTACATCCTAAGACATGTGCCTAGTTTCTCCAAAATGCACCGATCAATTTCCTGTTGTTCTGCTTCCTCATCTTCAAATAACCAAGGAAAGGGCCGGGGATTTAGCTCAGTGGTGCCGCCGCCTGCCTCACAAGCGAGAGGTCCCGAGTTTGATCCTCAGTACAAAAAAAACCCAAAAAAACAAAAACAAATAACTAAGGAAAATCCAAACCAAAGGTAAGACCTTAGCAATGCTTTGTATCTGCCAAGGCAGAGCAGCAACTCCACTACACAAAATCAGTGAGAAGCAACTAACGTGGTACCTGGCAGGCAATTTCCTCCCACATACCATCATCCACGATCCAGTCATCATCCTGGCGTGCCTGAACCAGCTTTGAATACCGTTCTTCATCAACTTCTTCATAAACACTTGTGAAGTCCTCGACCTGCCAACATACAAGTTTGAGAATAAGCTTTAAATGGAGTGAAAGTGTTAAACAATTCTGATGAAAAAATTGTCAAACTGAAACTGGAATGGCAGCCTGATGGAGTAGCTGCAACCAAATCATGAGTTCTGACATTCAACACCACTACAGGGTTTTCCTTAAATAGACATCAATTAACTTAGTATTCCTTTTAGGTGGGTGTTAACATAAGATATTAAATGATTCCATTAGCATAATACACTTGTCATACCATCAATTACTCATCTACTTCATAAAAAACAAACTGAATTATAGCCAATTCTTCATTAGCTGCTTTGGGGATTATTCACTTGTAATTTCTACACTGGTTTCTCCTATTCTTAGCAAACCTGTAAGGCATACAACCCTCCTTCTCTACTACCTGAAGGATGCTTTATGAAAAAATAATAATTCTTAATAACTGTTCAACCAACCAAATGAAATTGAAAAGGTAAATCTTTATTCACTCCCCTCCAGAAATTAGCAAAGCAAACATATTCTATATTCTATAGGCAAACAAGAAAGTTTCTGAGCAATGTTTGCCTTGCCACTGATCTCCCATCATTCTCAGGACTTAAAACTGCACAGAGTTAAATCTCGAGCTCTTTGAAAGCTAAGTCCAGAGAGAGCAGCAGGTCCACCAATCACATTGGCAACCTGACTGCCAGACGGTCCAAGCACCATGAGCTACTGATATTAATAAAGCAGACCACCTCTGCAGTTAGAGTAATAAACAGAAGAGATGCATACCACTGCTACAGCTACCATGGGGCAGATCACTGACTTCCCAGATGACTGGTTAGCAAGGTATCAACAACACCTCATTTAAAATTTCCCCTTCTCTCAAGAGTTCTGCTTTTGTTTTGTTTTCCTTTGTCAGTACTAAGACACTCAACCACTGAGCTACATTCCCATTCTCCCTCCTTTTTTTGCCATCTCATCAAGTTGCCCAGGGTGGTCTTGAGCTTGTAATCCTCCTCTATCAGGCTCCTGAATAACTCCCTCCTGAAGCATGTACCACCACACCTGGCTTTCTGCAATTTTCAAGTAGGGTACAAGGAAAAACAACTACCTCCACCTTAAAAGCTAAGGCTGAAAAAACTTGGACACAGAGCTTAGCCCAATGGCCAGAACTGAATGGATTTCTGCCACACCTACAAAGTATGTAATAATTACAGGACTAGGCTTCACTTCTACACCTTTTTTATCTACTCTGCAGGAATCACTAGCAAATACTGATTTGGCCTTTCACCATTTGGTAACAGAAATTACACAACCAACCAAATTAAGTCTTTAACAAGTCAAACACAAACCAGTCCAATTAACATGATTATATTTGTATTATGACCCACTAGATTATTTGCAGCCTGTCATTTCTAAAGGGGTGGCTATGGGCTAGCTAATGCCTGATCACCTTTCTCTAAAGTCTCTGTGGGATATCAGTTGAATTTGAGATTTTCCTCTTTTTAGAGAAAATGGATAGCACTGGTTTTAGTTGTTGTAACTGGATCTTAGAAGATTTCCGAAGATCCACAGAATCTGTATATTTCACCATGAGCTTTGTGAATCATTTTACATTATAAGAAAGATTCATTTGTGTAATATTAAGATTGTGTATTATTAGCTAAAAACACTCCTTTGTTTTGATGTAAGATGACTGAGAGTTTTGTAACATCTCATGTACATTGGCTTTTTTTTCAGCTGTTTCAGATTCAGGGAGTTTTGTAGCTTCTCGAGCTCGGCGAGAAAAAAAAAAAATCAAAGAAAGGATGCAAAAAAAAAAAAATCCTAAAGTTTCGGTTCATCTGTAGAATAAGATGCCAGTACCCTGTTTCCCTAAATAATGGTAGATGTCTTTGTTGACATGGAAAGCTGTGTTTTGTTTTGTTTTGTTGAGGCAGGGTCTCCTTTTGTAGTTCATGCTGGGCCTGAACTCACTATGTAGCCCAGGCTGGCCTCGAACTCTTGGAGATCCTCCTGCTTCAGCCTCCCGAGTGCTGGGATTACAGGCGCGTGCCATCATGCCCAGCAAGAAATCTGTTTTTTTTTTGTACCGGGGATCAAACTCGGGTCCTTGTGCTTGCGCAGCAGGCGGCGACACCACTGAGCTAAATCCCTGGCCTGTGTTATACATTTTGATCCTCATTTACACTTTGTTTCTCACACCAGAAAAATTATTTGGTATTTACACATGTGTGTCCAATTTATTTTACTTAAGAGTATGGCTTCAATGTGCATCTATTTAGCTATAAATATCTCTAGTTTTTCATTCTTTATGGCTGAGTAGTACTCCATTTTATATTAAAAAAAAAACACATCTTCTTTATCCAGTCACCAGCTGATGAGCATCTGGGCTGTTTCCAAGATTTAGCTATTACAAACTGTGCCACTATAAACATGGGTGGGAATATATAACTGTGGTATGATGCTTTTAATTCTTTTGGGAAGATACCCAGCGGGGAAATAGCTGGGCCAAATGGGACCTCTAATCCTAGCTTTTTGAGGTATCTCCATACTGATTTTCACAGTGGTTACACCAGTCTACACTCCCACCAACAGGAGAGAAGGATTCCTTTTCCCCACAGCCCCACCAGCATTTGTTATTGGTTGATTTCATGACAGCAGCCATTCTTTCTGGGGTGAGGTGGAATCTCAGCATTGTTTTCATTTGCATCTCTCAGATGACCAGTGATGCTGAACATTTTTTCTTATGTTTACTTGCTGTTTCTACTTCTTTGTCTGAGAAATGTCTGTTCATTTCAGATGCCCATTTTTGGATTGGGTCTTTAAATTTGGGAGGTCTGATTTTTTTAAGTTCTTTATATATTCCAGATAGTAGACCTATTAATCACTTTCTAACCTTGACAGTTAAGATACTCAGAAGATGCTGAAGGTAAAGCTACACACTGTGATGCACTAAGTAGCCACTCTGTTTTTACTGGCAGGCCGTAAACAGTTGTAGAAGAAAACAGCCAAAAGAGCATCTCATTCAATCTTACAAGCAGGACATGGCAGAAAGAAGGTCCCATTCTCCATTGCCCCAGGCACTGCAAATGAGACTAGGAAGAACAATTCTGTTCAAGGAAAAGGTGTGCAGACTGCTCACTACCTTAAGGGTAAAGTAAAATCACATCCAAGATGCCCTAGTGAGGCCACGGGACTTACTACAGATGCAGCATGCTGAATAAGGAAAACATACAGTACAGCTAGTTCATTTTTGAATTCTAAACTCTTGTGTAAAGTGCCTTATGGGAACTTCTGAGTCAAGCACTCTCCATAATCTGTAAATCTACCTCATACCCTCATTTGTCCAAATCTAAGAAACTATATTAGTTTGAAATATATATTTCTAATTGATGACAAGGGGACATAAGACTACCTGCAGGCTATGAATTTGATGAAACACACAAGGAAAAAAAGAAGTAAGAAAAATGGTTACTTACTTCATATTTATACTTCTCACCAGCTTTAGCCTTTTTCAGTTTTTCTAGAGCTTCCTGGCGTCCTTTCTTTGATTTTTTTTCTCGCCGAGCTCGAGAAGCTACAAAACTCCCTGAATCTGAAACAGCTGAAAAAAAAGCCAATGTACATGAGATGTTACAAAACTATCAGTCATCTTACATCAAAACAAAGGAGTGTTTTTAGCCAATAATACACAATCTTAATATTACACAAATGAATCTTTCTTATAATGTAAAATGATTCACAAAGCTCATGGTGAAATATACAGATTCTGTGGATCTTCGGAAATCTTCTAAGATCCAGTTACAACAACTAAAACCAGTGCTATCCATTTTCTCTAAAAAGAGGAAAATCTCAAATTCAACTGATATCCCACAGAGACTTTAGAGAAAGGTGATCAGGCATTAGCTAGCCCATAGCCACCCCTTTAGAAATGACAGGCTGCAAATAATCTAGTGGGTCATAAAAGGATTATTCATTTTGTATTTTATTAATCAACACTTGAAAAGCTTTAAGAATCATCTGTTCTTTGCAAAGTACTAGGTGCTATAAGGGACACAAAGTGTTCCTGCACTCACAGAACTTAATGTTACTATGGAATATAAGTAGCAACTGGATCTAAAACAGTATTTCAAAGTAATACATATCCTAACAGAGGTTTAGTTAAAGTAGCTGGAATTTCAGAGTAGAAACAGAGTGAGAGCTGAGAAAATTTAACAAAGGTGCCTCTGAGTATTGATTCTATCACTGATTTCAAGGCCTTTGTTGGTTATGTCATTATAGGATAATAGTAAAAAATTACAAAGGTTAAAATGCATTTTGTCAAAAATTACTGAAATACCAAGAGGGCCTCTGTTTATTCATTCAACTTTCGAAGTATTCATACTTTGGGTCATTACAAACTAACCACCCCACACACGTACGGAAAAAAATTCATTTACAGAATTCAGACTTTCATGTATCAGCTGATGAATAACCAAGTTGAGACAATGGTGTTGCCTCCAAGACATGACTTTAGGCTCAGCATGACTGCCATCTATGTCTGGGAAGTTGAGTATATTATTGTATTTGGTGCTAATTAATTTATTAAAAGAGTAGATACAGGAATGGAGACATACTGGCAAGAGGAACCCTAAAAGCTCTAACCCCACTGGAACATTCACATTAAGCTGTTTGACCAAGTGCTTAGCTGAAATAAAAGATACAATCTAAAGAGTATGTACCAAATGCAAGCAATAAACCACTGACAACTGTATCTTAAAGGTGGAATGTAATTAGAAATCTTTTTACAGCTTTCTGGAAATGAAATCTCTATAACATCTCAGTCTATTGTCTGATTTCAAATCCTTTTTCAGAAAGGCATTAAGTAAAAATTAAAGAATCCAGGTACTTCACGATGACAGTCACAAAATCTTGGGTGTAATTCAAATGATTTTAAAAATCTTGAGCAGCCCTACCTAACATGAGAAGGTCTCAGAGGTTATCAAACATGACTAGTAAGAGTGAAAAGCTAGCCTCACTTTGTTCTCTTCAAGACTTCCTTAATACCTGACAAAATCTATAGGTCTTTAAATGGGCTTACTCCACAGGCAACACTTCCACAACACAGGGTTGGAGTACAATTATTAAGTAAGACAGAGCTGCCTGTCCTCAAAGGGCTCAGTCAAGTAAAGCAAAAGGACCTGACACTACCACCGTACCATAAATATGGTACCACAGAAGAAGTAAGAACACAGTACGAGCAGAGGAGAGAGCCATTAATTTTGCCTGGGGAATCAGGAAGCGTTTCACAGGGGAAGTTTCCAATATAGGGCTAGAAAGAGGAGTAAAATTACTACACCATCAGACAGTGTGGTTAAAAAGTGGCATAAGCAGAGGAAGACGCATGAGCCAAATTAGAAAGGGATGGAAATTTAAGGTGTACTCAGAAACTGAGAGGAAGAAGTCAGTGCAGAAGGTAATGTGACATGAGAGTGTAATGTGACATGACAGTGTAGATTGGGTAGGAGAATCAAGAGATTAAGGAGAAGCAGCACATCCCAGTTCTGCCATTTAGTGGGTGACATGAGATCACTAGTTAACACAAGTTAAGCAGTGGACAACTGTCTGTTTTAATCTGCCTAGCATCAACACTGTTTGTGAAATTCCCCCCTACAAGGCCTGACATTTCACAGAGCCTATGCCCGACTACAGAAGCTAAAGAAAGTCAGGTGTTTTTTTCCAGATACCCTTGCAGCTACGGCATAGGCCAGTGATGGTGAACCTTTTAGAGCTTCCAATGATAACAAACAGCCAGCTGTGGCACACATGCCATAGGTTTGCCACCACTGGCATAGGGGTGTAAATAGGCTCTACCAATTAGAAACACCTGCTCAGACTTTAAGTCAGAGGCTAATGTCCCAAGGAGGAGGATATGGACTTAAAGAAGATTCTAGAAGCAGCAACAGATTGAGAATGTAGGTCAATAGTGCCAAGCAATGTTGGACTGTATAAGCTATAGCACCAAATTCTTGGTCATGGTTGGCAATGACCTCAATGGCCCAGTTCTGTGCACAATTTTAATCACTGTTTCTCACTAACCAGCTCCCAGGTTGGCTTTCCAGTTCTCCTGGGTTTCTGCAAACAACACAGTATTCGAATAAATTCCTTTTCTTTTCAAATCAGCTAGGGTTGGTTCCTGTAGCTTACAATAAAGGGACTCTGGCTAATGCAAGGTCCTTACCCATGAAATGAGGTAACTGTGTCTGTTTCATAAAGGTGTAAGGATTAAAGGAGGGTGGCTATCTTACTTTGCACTTAGAAATATAGAAGAAAATAATTTAATGTTTGTCAGTATAGATACAGGGTAGTCAAACACACACACACATATATACCTCACATACACCACAGCTAGCTGAAGAACAGTGTAGCTTCAGAAAGCAAAAATAAAGCAAAATGGTTTCCTCAGGGAAGACTCAATATAGCACCACATACAACTGGATGCTTGCCATCCCAACTCCATGAAGACAGAAACCATGTCCAGTCCACCCATCATCACACTGCCAAAGCCTGGCAGAATGCTTATGCCTGGGAGACACATAATAAATATTTTTGCTGAATGAACCGCTGTACCCATTTTTTGAGTACAATGAGATCTCCCATCTCTTTTCATACATAGTTACAGCTATCTATAGTTTTCAACTTTTCACAGCCATTGTCACGGTGTTCCACCTTCTAATACTTAAGAAATACAAAGCCTAGGTTTTCTTTTTTTTGGAATATGTCTCCAATGCTTCATGTAAGTTAGCTAAAAAATATAAGCATGAAAAGAAAATCCAGTTACAAAACTTAAACATTTGGTTCAAAATTACCATCTAGAGTACCTCCACCCTCCCCCAAAGCAGACAGAGACACCAGCCTGCAGCAGTCCTTCAGGTAACAATCTTTCAGTCTGCTCTAAAGGAAAAATTCCAGTCACAATTCCCAGCAACTACTTAATCAACACCATGACTTAAGAGGGGTCTCAAGATTGCACAGTATCCTCCAGAGAGTGATTTCTTGATGTTCAGATGGCGTACAGTTTTAGGATGAAGAAAGGGCTTAGTGGCAAATCACTGATAGAGGGCTGCAAAGACTGTTCGAGTACTCACATCCTACATCCCATTTGAAATCCAGGCCAGTCGACTCTCCAAAATAAATTGTCTTTAAAAACGAAAGGCTAAAGAACAAATGGAAATCTGTGATTTACAACTAGGTGAATGCAAAGGAAGCTGATTAGGAAGCATTAATGGTGATGTATTTGAGTGACAGGAGATGTGACGCTTGGGCCAAGAAAGTGAAGCATCTGATTTTAAGTTAGAAGTTCACTGAAGTTAAGTCACATTTTAGTTGAACGCTGTTCAAAAATCAGAAATCAGACAAACCCATTTGCATTCTTGTATTCTATTTTTGGAAATAAAAGATTTACCACTGCCAAACTGAGTGATATACAGGGCATCTGAAATACTGCTGCACAGATGCTTTTTTTTTTTTAGAAACTTCACCAAAATTGGCTAGACTTGAACACTATTTCTATGCACCACTTAAAGAACTTTCCACAGAAGTATCTGAAAGGAAAAAATTGTTAATACATAAAGTAGAAACCCATTTGTATCTGGTGACAACACTTAAGAGCTTGCTTTCCTGCTCAGTTACAATATGCAGCAATTTTCCTGGGAGTTCCTAGAAAGGGAGATGCTATTATGGTCTCTCCTAGCACTCAAGTAGACACTTGAGGTGGGAGCAGAGAAATTCTTCCAGTTAAGACAGTACCCCACTGGGACCAGTCGGGATGAAGTTGTGCCTAGCACGTGGATGCGACTCACCAAAGGAAATAAAAATGGGCAGGGAGACTCTGAGGCAGAGGTGAGGGAGCTTTTCAAACAAAAAACTGTTGCAGTGGGTGATGCGAGTTTGCCAAGAGTGAACTCCCCGGCCTGGAAACCGCTTCCGACCCCCGCAGGGTCCATACCCAGACCGGCCGGCGGAGCAAGCCAGACAAGCACCTCCCTCGGAAGAAATAAAAGAGACCCCCCCCCCCAACACCTGCAATCACCCACACTCCCAAACTAGTGCCCTAAGCGCGGAGTTGTCCCTCACCGCTAGTCCCAAGCTTACAGTCGTCGCCGTGCACGGGAGCCATGGTCTCGGAGTCTCCCGATTCCGCGCCAACAAGCCCGAAACTGGCGCGGGGGCCGAGATAGGCGCCAGCCCGAAAGCCAATCAGCGGCTCGGGAGGCTGCGGACTTCCGCCCGGAAGGCCACTGACGTGCCGTGCCGCACTGCGCCCCGCCCCCGGCCTTCCCGCGGGCGCGCGTTTGGCGCCCTGTGATGATGACCCCTTAGGGAAAAACTGGAATTGAGGAGAAGCCCGTGGAGAGCAGGAGAAAGAGGCGGTCGGGCGCTGAAAAGGAGCTTCGCAGAGACACTGCGCAGGCGCACGCACGCTACTGAGAAAAGATTTGGAAGCGTGAGAATAGGGGTTCTCTGTTTCTGAGAGATGATTTTCTAGGAAAAGAGGCGCAGACGGGCAGCATGTGGGCGTGGTTGGACCCGGCAGGCCAGGAGCCCGGGAAAGCGACTGCCTCCTGGTGTGCGCTGGGACTTTTGCCCAATACTTTGCCTCTTAGAGTGTGAACACAGTCGCTGTATGAGTATATAATATATATATGTATGCCCCTACTTAAAGATATATGCATTACCTTAACCAAATGACTAAAAAGTAACATCACCAATATGCAGCAATCTGACCTCTTATGTCTCCTGATAGATAACACTTGAAAAAGAAACAACATTGTCTATGTGGTTGCAAAAATGTCTAACCTGAATCTAACCATAAAGAAACAATCAGATATGTTCAAAGTACACACAACCTACAGACCTATTCAAAGTGCAAAACAACCTACAGTGTATCTTGCCTGGACCCCTTCAAAATATTAATGTTATGAAAAGCAAAAAGGACATTTGATTCTTGTACAGTGCATGCAATATATGCACCTTATTTTATCTTTTTCCAAATAGATGTAACATTTCTGATTGCTTGGAAATTTTTTCCGCTTTATAATTCATTTAATATGATGTTAGGATATGATTGATATATTGTGATACATAACACATAGTAATTCATACTTTGACACACTGTTTAAAGTACTAGTACAGATTTATGTCTACATTTCCCTTTAAAATTGTTAGAAGTTTTATAGTTTTATTATTAAGTTTATTCCTAACAGAAGGGAACCATTTTGGCTAAGCATCGGTAAGAACCAACTCTTCCATACCAATTTTACCTGTCTTATTTTCATCATGGAAGCTTAAAACTAAGCATTTCAAATCTTATTTCTTTTTCATTACTGCTATGGTCTGAAAGCTTGTCCTCCCAAAATTCATATGTTGAAAACTAATCACCCATATGGTGGTATTAGGAGGTGGAGCCTATGGAAGGTGATTAGGTTGAGGGGGAGGGGCTTATGAATGAGATTAGTGTCCTTCTGAAATAGTCTCCTTGCTATTTCTACCATGTGATGACACCGCAAGAAAGTGGCTTCTATGAACCAGAAAGCAGACCCTCACCAGACTCTGAATCTGCTGGCACCTGGAGTCTTGTAGTTCCCAGCCTCAAGAACTGTGAAAAATAAATTTATGTTCTTTACAAGCCACCATAACAATTGTTTGTAAGCCACCATAACAGTTTATGGTACTTTGTTATAGCAGCGTGAACATAGTAAGACAACTACAGACATAGTTTGGGGGCCAGTGCCTGTAGAACACTTTCATATCACAATATGACTTCTGGTCCTGTACATTCAGGTTACAACGCCAGGTAAAGTAGCATATGAGATAGGAGTATTCCTGGAAGCTACTCCTAAACCAGGAGGTCTATCAACAACTTACATGTATATGAAAGTTAACCCACACAAATGACACTGACTAAACTAAATGCAACATCAATTTAACTTCAGTGTAGAATAATCCCCAAATGCCTTTCCCCACTCCAGCACCACAAGGAAGGAGGGGAAAATTCTATCAAAAGGACCGGTGAAGCTGATTGCTAAATATTCAGGAGCTTTGTAACGTGGTGGTTAAACTGTCAGTAAATTGAAATCAGCCATACTTGTAATATTTATAACATGAGAATTGGCAAATGATGCAAATCAGAGCTTTTTTTCTTTTTGGGGGGCAGGGTGGGGGATATTACCAGCAAACCAGGACAGAGCAAGAATGTAGCTTCTTAGTGTCCACACAGCTGCCCTAATATCCCTTGGCTGCCTACCTTCAGACTAATACATGACAGAGAAGTAAATATCAGGCATATTTAAAGACACTATGAGTGTCTCTTACATTTAGCCATACCTAACTCTGGGAATTATACTTATTTTATTTTATTTACCTTATTTATTGAAACTCAGTCAAGTAAACAGCAGATGGGGATCCAGCCCACTTCCTTCTGGGCAGCACTGTCTTCAGAGTCACTGCAAAGCCCAGTGTCTAGGCCACCTGCAATGGCAGAAATGGTCAGTATACCCTTTACAAGATGTGATTTTATCAGTGATTTTGACTTAGCATCTCCCTTTGTGCCTGGTTCTCCTGGCTCCCTCAGATTCCTGATATTCTCTCACAAACTTCTTTCCCTCCTCCTCCTCCTCCTTCTCCTCCTCCTCCTCATTCTCTTCTCTCTCCTCTCCCTTCTCTTAAATCAGAAGACAGTTTCTGTTGCTTGCAACTCATATCCCTGGCTGACACACCATTCTATTTCTTTGCTTTAGTCTCATTACATACTCAGAAATCCCCTGGTTAGGATTTCAGATACTTCAGGACAGAAGAATGCTAGGTTGAAGATGAAAGCATTCCAACATTCAGGAAATGATGCTCTCCACAATCAATTAGTAGGTGCTTATTCTAGTTAAAACATGTCTTTTAGGAATTTAAGGAAAGTAGTACTGTCCCCAAGAGACCATCTCTGGTTGTCCTAAGGGAATCTAGTCAATATGCATAACACTGAGAACAAGACCCTGGGCTTCAAAGACCAAGAAGGGATGATCCGAGAAGGCTTCCCTAAAAGAAGCCAGCACTTGGCACTCCCAAACCCCAATCCCACAGACCTATCCTCTCTAACTAGGGAAGCTCCCCATGAGACTTGACCTTCATAAATACATCTCTGACTTGTCTCTCATGGTATTAAAAAGTAAATTCAGCATTTTTGTTCATTCACCCCTGTCAGACAAATAATCTTTTTGAAGATATGGTTTTCTAGATCTATTAAATTGAGAGGAGGGGGAGACACACTACAATTAGCCATTAATCATTCCACTTCATAACCATTCCTTTTTCAAATCTGTTAATAACAACTCAGCAATTATTTGATTCTAGAAAAACCAATAGCAATTTAAACGTGTGCCATCCATGTAGATATATTGCCACACATTATACCCTGTGAGATTTAATCTTGGATGAAGACTACAATATAAAACAGTGAGTTTAGAGGCTATATCCTTCAGTGATTTAAATCCTAACTGCCATATCCCTAGTGGCTTCTAGATAGAAAGTTTATTTTCTTAAGGTGATCATAAAAATTAATTAATTAACAATAGCCAAGCATGCTGGGACACATCTGTAATCCCAGTACTCAGAAGACTGAGGTAGGAGGATCACTGAGTTTGAGGTCATCCTGGGCTAGATAGTGACTTCAAGGTCAGTCTGAACTACATACATAGTGAGACCTTGTCTCAAAAACAATTAACAATAAAAACAGATATCTGCATATACTGTATATCTTAACCAAAAAGCACCAAGTAAATTAAGTACCTAGAATGAAAATTAACCATCTTCGAGTACCCCTTTTGTGACACATCTTTTTTTTTTTTTTGGGTACTGGGGATTGAACTCGGGACCTTGTGCTTGCTACGCAGGTGGCGGAACCACTGAGCTAAATCCCCGGCCCTCGAGTACCCCTTTTATGTGGACCTAATTTTAGCCACTCAAGCCAATGCATCTGTATTCCTTCCTCAAAACCATTAGTGTATGATGCACTTGGTCCGGCTCTTCTAGAAAGCAATGTTAGATCTGTCCCCTCAAGTGATTCAACATGAATTATTGATCGATGGGCAGATCCTTAGTGATAACAGCCTAGGCTCACAGCATAAACATGCAATGTTATTGTGAATCATACCTACCGACAAAGACAAATAGCTGTACTAACACTTCAGAACTTTCCAAATGAGCAGCAAAAACTAAAACTTGTGAATGGAAAACTAGAACTCATCTGGGAAGTAGTAAAGTCATTGGAATTAAGAAATATGAGTTAGAATGTTGATCACGTGATTGGTTGGTAGTGAATTTCAGCAGAGAATGGCAGCATGAAAGTTTCACACTTTACATATGGTCAGTATTCTATAAAACACAGCCAAAGTTGAGAACATGGTCTAGATGAGGGATTGCTAAACCTTCAGTGGCATGACTAACCTGGACAGAAATATTCAGTCAAACAATACCTAATCACAAGTGCCTGGACATGCCTCTTTCATAAGGAAATAGGGTTCATCTCCCATCTGTATCTTACAGTATTTAGCATTGTGGCTTCCTGTGAATTGAATGCCTTCTGGATTACCCAAAAGATTCTATGCAAGGTCAGCACTAGTTTTATTAGAAACAATACAAAAGATTCCACCTTTGTTATTAAACATCTGTCACCAACAGAAATCACTGCCCAACACCATCTCTGTGGTTTGGGTTTAGGAAATGGAAAAGTATTTTTTAGTTCATGTAGTCACTTTTACTTCATCATGTTATCCTTCCCCTTCCTTCAATATTAAAGACAAATTATTTCATTTCCCTTAGTCTTTAACTACTTATTGAATAATTTCCACCAGTGAGACAAACTTGCACAGTCAAGAATTTGTTTAAAAAAAAAACACCAATGTGAAAGTAGAAAGGAAACTATTAGACAAGAGGAAGGGAATCAGGGAGAGGGAGGACAGGGATGTGAAGGAGGGTGATGTTATATGTATGTATGAAAATGGAACAGTGAAACTCAATATTTTATAAAATTAAGTTGCACTAATAAAAATATATAGGAAAAGATGAGATAAAATTAATAAATGTAAACAGGAGTTTGTTTTATAACCTTCTGCTTTAAAAGATCATCCTGGAAACAAAAGATGCTAAAAGTGGGGACCCGGGGATTTAGCTCAGTGGTGCCGCCGCCTGCCTCACAAGTGCAAGGTCCCGAGTTTGATCCCCGGTACCAAAAAAAGAAAAAGTGCGGGTGGGGCACGCCCCT